TAAAATTAACGCATACCGATTCAGTCACGAAATATACGGATTTGGCATTTAAAATTGATTTCAGAGCATCTCCACCGGTCGTGAGTAAAACTAAATTTTACCCCTTTTCTGTCAATATTTAATTATAGTTTTAGTTTTGTATAGCTCCACCGGTTTGAGTAAATGCTGAGCAAATTCCTCCATTTTTTACGCAGATCAAATTTTTGCACAAGTTTGCCTACGGGGGAGGCTTTGAGTAAAAGGTTGAAGAAATGTCGACCAGCCAGTAGTAGGGCCTAGTCGAGCGCTCTAAGCAGCGCAAGCGTCACAGACCGCAGTGTTGGAATGCATATTGCAGGCCAGCTTCAACTGCAGCAAGTTGAAGGATGAGCCTGGGACCTGGACTGGTGGTAAGACATGCAGCAGTAGGGGTTTCCAGAGAACCAGGTCCCAGTATGAGAAAGGGGCAAAGGCCCGTAGGAGCTGGCAGCAGCTCCACCGCTAATCTATTTACCTTTCCTTTTGTCTTCTTTCGTGAAGAGCGTTCGGCCGTCGGATTTGGTACAACGTCCAACAGGGTTCTGAGCCCAAACCAGCGGACTTGCTACTGCACAGGAAGCGATCCAGGATGGCGGACCAGCTGAAGTTCACGTCGGAGGGTGTGCCCAAGAACTGGAAGGGCAAGGACTGGCAGGCATCCAAGTTTGCGATGCAGATGGCGTTTCGTGAGGCGGAGCTCATGGAGATTGTCGATGGGACGATCAGCAAGGAGACGCTGTCGGATGCGGAGAGTGAGGAGAAGTTCGACAAGAAACAGACCAAGATCATGTGCTTGATTGGGATGTCGGTGCCGTCGGAGATCTTGCACCAGATTAGGTACAAGATGACAGGCACGGAGATGTGGGAGGCCTTATGTGACCTGTTTGAGAACAAGGTGAATAAAACTGTTAAGGCTCACACTATTCGTCGCCTTCGTGATGAACTCTGGACTGTGAAGTTTTCGCCAGGTGGAAATATGAACCTGCACTTGAGCAAGATGTTCAATATCCGGACTGAGTTACAGACATTGCAGTATGCAGTTGATGATATTGACATGGTTGAGATGATGCTGGAGAGCTTGCCGGCCCAAGCAGAGTTCGAGAGCCTGAAGTCGTCAATTCGCTACAGTGTAGACACTACTATGTTCACACCTACCAAGGTCCGCGAGTTGATTCGTGCTGCCGCTGCCCGCCAAGTCGAGTTCCGTGGCAAGGGCCAGCGTGGAGGACCTCGTGTAGGGAGTAATGGTGGGGCTAGTGGAGTGAATGGGACGAAGAGCAGAGCTGATAATCAGCATGAGGAGAAAAGCAGCGACTCCAAGAAGAAGAAATTGAAGAAGTGCTTCATCTGTGGGAGTACTGCACATCTCAGAGCTGCTTGCCCAGATAGGACTGACAAGTCAAGTGGTGATGGCGCTAATGCAACTGAGCAGAAGCGTAAGCCACGAGGAAATGTGACTATTCGACAGGAGGTCCGCGAATCTCCGAGCCCAGATAGTGACAACGGTGGCTCTAGCGTGGAGATGGCCGCGCTGGACCAGATGATACTTGACGCTGGGGTCGAGGTGGACATACGGGATCCAGAACCCGAGAGTCCTGGTGATGTAGATGCTCAGGAAGCGAACAGTGCTGAAGCTGACGATGCAGTTGGAGACTCCAATGGATGGTGGTTCTTCGACACTGCGGCAAATGCGCACGTCACAGGAAACCTGTTGGACTTCGTAGCATTTACGGAGGATACCAGTCAGTCACAGAGCGTGCACGGAGTGGCACCTGCTCTTGCATCGCGGATTGCAGGAGTAGGAACTGTAGCTTTGATGACTGAAGTGGATGGTGAACGTGGAGTAGTTTACCTGAATGATGTCGTTTACGTTCCCGGTGCTGAGCACGGACTCTTTTCACCTGGACTTCCGCGGAGCAAGGATTCGACTTTGACTATGAGCATGATACACTGAATTTCCGCATCAAGTATGAAGGTCGGGCTGTTATCGTGGCTTCGCCGTACGAGGCAACGTGGGGATTCTTTGTGACCCATCCTGTGAATGAGGGGCTAGAGCTGCCTCGAGACAGAACAATGTGTAACTTTACTGCGATTGATGGGGTTGCTTCACTTGCGCTCTGGCACGAGCGACTTGGACACATCTGCCCACAGTACTTGAAGACCATGGCGGACAAGGGTCTGGTGAAAGGACTGATGTTGACGAGGCGCGAGCAACAAGACCCTTGTGACGCATGTAATTTAGGGAAGCAGAAGAAGACACCACACACCAAGAAGCTGAACCGTGGGCTGAAACCGCCTAATCAGGCAGTGTATGTGGACTTGCTAATCCCAAGTCAGGGAATGGCACTCACTTTGAGGCGGTGCTGGTGATTATGGATGGCTACTCCCGGTTTGTGACCGTGCACATGTTAAACAGCAAGTCGAGCAAGGTCATCAACCAGCATATTAAGGAGTACATCTTGTGGGCTGAGCGTCAAGCCGGGAGGAGCAAGGATGGTGCGGAGCGTGTGAAGTACAGAGTTCGCCAAGTCTGGACAGACAAAGGCGGTGAGTTTATGAACTCCACCATAAAGAAATGGTACCGCGCTCATGGCATCGAGCACATACGTGTCGGACCCAAGAGCTCCCAACTAAATTTGTGTGAGCGAACCCATCAGTCACTCGTTTGGATGATGAAGGCGATGATGCTGGACTCTGGGTTTCCCACGAGCTTGTGGCCCGAGGCTCTGAGAAATGCTGTCTACCTGAAGAACCGAGTGTTCAACAAGGGGCACGGTGGTGTTACGTACGAAAAGATGTTTGGAGTCAAGCCAGACGTCCACCACATCCGCAAATTTGGGGCGCTCGCTTACGTCCATGTTCCCGTTACTCCTGGGCGGCGCAAGTTCAGTGACAACGCTAAAGTCGGGTTCCTGCTCGGTTATGCGGAGGATGTTGTGGGGTGTAAAGTATACTTCCCTGAAGAGCATACAGCCAAATTTGTTGCGGATTTGCGAGTTGCGGAAGATGTTGTTTACCGCGATCGTTACGAGCTGGTCGAAGATGCAGATATGGAATCGCTGCACTTTGAGCATGTGCCTGCAGCTGATCGAGACGCAGACACCGGAGCGGATGAGACTGTTGTTAGTGGCGAAATGGAGAGCACAGTGATGGCGTGAATGGAACACGGAGTTGAACAACTGGTTCTTGGCGCATGGCTACCTCCGCTCTCTCACTGAACCTTGCCTGTACCACAAGTTCGGAACAGACTCGATCATGCTCGTGCTTGTCTACGTTGATGATATTATAGTTGCGACCAACAATGAAGAAGACAAGTGCAAGCTGCTTGAGGAGCTGAATGTGGCGTACGGCATTAAGGACCAGGGGCTTCTCAAGGAATACCTGGGCATTGAGGTGGACCAGACTGATGAGGGCATCACCATTCGCCAGAGCAAGTATGCTCGAGAGGTATTGCAGACATTTGGGTACGAGAACGCCCATGCAGTGGGCAACCCGATGGAGACAAATGTTCGGCTGGCGCCTTTGGATGCGAGTGAGGAGTCTGACACTAGCTTTGACTATCGAAAGGCCGTCGGGATGTTGATGTACTTGGCTACGGGAACGAGACCCGACCTGGCGTTTGCAGTGGGGCAACTTAGTCGGTTCGTGGCCAAGCCATCTGCCAGACACGTGGGGACACTGAAGCGTGTTCTGCGGTACCTTGCTGGTACGGTAGACTATGGCATATCGTATGAACGACCTACGGAGGTGCCAAGCGCTATTGTATTGGAAGGCTTTTGTGATAGTGACTGGGCCAATGACCCTGAGTCACGTAAGAGTACTACCGGGTTCGTGTTCTCGCTAGCAGGCGGAGCTGTGTCTTGGATGTCACGTCGCCAATCGATCGTGGCCCTCTCAACTGCTGAGGCCGAGTATGTGGCCGCGTGTGAGGCTGCGATGGAGGCAGTTGCAGCCAGCAACATGTTGCAGGAGGTACTACCACAGCGAAGTGTGAAGCTAAAGATCGGGATTGACAACCAAGCGGCCCATGTGCTGGCGACCAACCCTACCTACAGTCGCCGTACCCGACACATCGAGCTGCGATGGCACTTCGTGCGTGAACAAGTGCAGAAGGGCGCAATTAACCTACGCAAGGTGAAAGGTGCCGAGAACCCGGCGGATGCGTTTACGAAGCCACTGGACACGCAGCGACTGAAGGACCTGTTGTGGCTCGTGGGCGTGACTGGTGGCATGTGATGAAGCAACCTGCCTCAAGAAGCGCATTCTGGTGGTCGAAGTTTGTACTTCGAGGGAGGCGTATTGCAGGCCAGCTTCAACTGCAGCAAGTTGAAGGATGAGCCTGGGACCTGGACTGGTGGTAAGACATGCAGCAGTAGGGGTTTCCAGAGAACCAGGTCCCTGTATGAGAAAGGGGCAAAGGCCCGTAGGAGCTGGCAGCAGCTCCACCGCTAATCTATTTACCTTTCCTTTTGCCTTATTTCGTGAAGAGCGTTCGGCCGTCGGATCTGGTACAACGTCCAACACGCAGTGTCGCCCATGCTACGTCATCCCTGGGTCTTCGTCAACGTGTTCCCGGGCCCGTTTTCATCTTTATAGGGCTATACAGCTAAGACTCGCCGTCGCCATTGCTGGCGCCGTGCTAAGAGCTTTAACGCGCTCGCTGCAAGTCTCAATGACCGGTGGAGCTGCGCACTGTCTTTAGCACGGTTGTGCCGTTGTAGACACGGGTCTGAAGGCAATTTGCTTTTACTGTAGTTTTACTCAGCACCGGTGGAGATGCTCTCATACGGTTTGGGGCTTCGTGATGTCGGCTTACAAAATGCTCCACCGAACCTACACTTTACGCACAGAATTGCTGCTGTCACCAGACAGCGTCCCGTAGACAAGAAACAAGATCCCCATAAATGCTGGTTCTACGGTACTAGAAATACAATACAAACACCAAGTAAAAAGAGTTAAAGCCTAATCTCCATCTTGCCAGCATGACCAAGCTGTGCGACCTGCTGGGCTCGCGCCCGGAAGCGCTGTTCGAGTGCATGTACACCAAGCACAAGACGCAGAAGCGCAAGATCTGGCATGATGGGTTCGTGGCGCTCCACGCCTCGCGGAGGATCGTTTTGTACGAAGAAGACGAGGGAAAGGCTGGCAAAGCCATCGACGAGGCCAAACTGGCCCCGTTCGACTGGGGCCGCAAGGACGAGGAGAACTTCGAGACGTCCAAGTATGTGCAGATAGGCCGATCTCCACCTCTCCGTCTGTACCTAAATGGCTTCAGCTGTTAACCTCACTAGGCTGGCTGCTGTTGCTACAGATTCCTAGTTGAGGTCGTCAACGAGACGCCCACGCCGTCAACCCACGCCGCATCAGCGGCCACAGCAAGTGCCAGCGGCTTCGAGTCTGCCAGTACAGTGCAGCAGTCTGCAGCCAATGGACCAGGAGCACGAGCGGGGCCTCCTCCCGGACTCGGTGGACGCCCACGCTTCTCCAATTCCAAGTTCCGCACGCCACTGAGTCGAGGACCGCCACGTCTTGGCAGACCTGGAGCCAGCCGTGCAGCTCACCCATACAGTCGCAACTCGCCCGTAAACGTACCGACTCCGCCAACAGCAGCTTCCAGCCCCAAGTTCGACTTCGACCGCAGCCCGACGTCCGAGTGGAAATACGTCCCGGACGTCGTCGCTCGCACTCGTACGTTCTCCCCGCCAGCGCATCTGTATCAGAGGCATTATGCTTGCTAATTGCTGTCTCCTGTGATCATGATGACCATTGCAAACAGCCGACGAGGTGCTCGCCCTGCTGGACAAGTGAACGTGCGTAATCTCAGCTCGAATAGCTTCAACTGGGCAATAACGAAGAACCCTGAGCGATGTATGCTGCATTAATTTATCCCAGAGCTAACCACGCTGCTAGGTAGCCCAGCCATCAACCAGTGTAGCCGTGAGACCTACTAGTACTTGCCTAAATGGCTGCGTCGTCCGCCTGCTTGGGGTCCGCCACGCGCACGTTTTCCCAAGAGTCCGATGTACCCATCAGCACGTTCGAGTACATGTTGCGGTCGTCCTGCTGGATCTCGACGTAGCCTTTTCTGCGCGTGTAGTCGCGCAACAGCTTCATGAGCGCTGTGCCGAACAGCAGCGCTACGACGCACGCACACACGTCGTACACAATGTTCAGTGTGTCTGAGTAGTTGCCGCTCTCCGCAGTCGCGTCTGGCGTCGAAACAGTAGCCATCTGCATCGCCGTCCGGAGGAGTCTCTGCCGTCGCATGGCGGATATGCGTCAACGCTCCTGGGGTAGCTGGGAGAGCTTCGTCAGGGTGCTGCACGTCGATGGATCGAGCGCTGGAACGTAGCGTAAGGCTTAGCTCTTCGGGCAAAATGATCGTTGTCGTTTCCGAATGTTGGCAGCCAAATGCAACAGTCATTTACAAGATGGCTACATGACCAAGGAGCTCGCGCTCTGCTCACGGTGTTTTCATTCCGTTCAATGATGTTACATGGGCTCTCTGGCTTCGAGAGCCCGGAGAAAACGACTCGACTTACTACTGAACTAACTGGGCTTCGTGCTGAGGGACATACCTCGCTATCTCTGCTTTCATACGCTTTTGCCTGGGGGTTCCTGCTGTTTATTCGTCGTAGATGACGAACGTGGAGTTGCTGATGTCGCCGCGACGCGAGGGCTGGCCGAGTTCGCCGCGTCGGATCTCGTCCGGGTTGTTCCTCGAGTGCAGGATGCAGCTCAGACAGACCTTGACGCGCGTGGTCTCGGCGTCCACCAGCACGGGCATCTTACGGCAGCAGCGCCCGCAGCTATTCTCGCCGCAGAGTCGGCAGCTGTGGCGCTTGCGCAGGAAGGAGAAGGCGTGCTGACACACGTTGCAGTTCCGTTGCTGCTTGTCCTTATCTCCGCTCGTGAACGACCGGTGCTTCCGGTTCATCTCCCTCGTCTCCGTCACGAGGTGGTTGCCAATGCTCGTCTTCTCGGCGTGGGCGCGCAGGTTGGCAAGCCGCACGCCTGCCTGTTCCAGCCAGTGTGACCTCCTGCTGGACGAGCACTTGCTCTTCGGGTCCAGGTGCGACGCGAACGTCACCTCGACGACTCCGGGTGTGTTGGTCTCCTGCACTGTGTACACCTCGCAGCGGATGGACGCTCGAACGTACTTGGGGGACGGCCGCAGCTCGGGCACGCGGATGGATTCGAGGATGCGGTAGCCGATCAACTTGCCGTCGTCCGTGGTGCTCACGTCCGTGTAGTCCAGGTACACGAGGTCCAGCGGCGTCGTGCCGAACGGGTTCTTCATCGCCTGGTACTTGAGGCCGCAGTGGAAGTATCGCGAGTTGGTGGGCTGCGCGCAGGACGCAAGCACTTTCGCCTCGATAACCTGATCAGCGCCGAGGATGATCTTCTGAGACTCGGCGAACCGCTCGGTGGTGTCTCCCGCCGCCAGGATGGACATGACGTTCTTGACCGACGCGTTCACCTGCGTGATACCGCGCACCTCGCAGCGCGAGCGCTTGGACTTGAACAGGTGCACGCCGTTCTTGACCTTGGCCGGTTCCCAGTTGGAGCCTACTAAGTCGCTGTCCTCGATGTTGCTGGGCTCTCTGATGTCGTCCGTGGCGTCGTTGGATGCAAAGGCCAGCGCGATGCTATGCCTCCGCTTGATGTAGCTGAAGCACCCGACCTTCTGCGCAGCGCTGAGCAGCGTCGAGTCCTCGGAGTTCACGCGCACCTGTCGCCCGCCGACGGTATCTCGACCGTCCGACGATGCTGCCGACCTGCACCGAACGCGCTCCATGGAGCGGACCCCCGCGGGCAGGTAGCGGTCCTGCACGACGTCGTCGCCTTCGTCCTCGTCGCTGTCGCTGTCCTCGAGCACGCGCTCGCCCTTCTGGTTGCCCAGCACGCCGCCGAAGATGGGCGTGGCGCCGAGGCGCTGCTGCAGTCCTGACCAGAGCTCCTGGCGCTTGGAGCCCACGTGTCGGTGGATATCGGAGCCGCTCGTGCGGTGCATCACCTCGCTGGCCATGGTCTGTGTGTGTCTGTTGCTGATAGCGGGTCTGTCTTGAAGTGCGACAAGTTCAGACGCTGGATCTGGCGGTTGGCGGCGTCACTAGTCGCGGCACGAGAAGCTCAACGGGCGCTCCGACTCCTAGCGCTGACTACACGGCAAATTCAATGGAAGGAAGCTGCGCGCTGCCGCCCGAGCAATTTGAGTTGTGAAGGGCTGCAGCCTGCAGTGCAGGGCTCCAGACTCGAGCAAGGTGCTCGAACGTGGTGGTCGATCGTTTCGCATGTCGCGGACAGCCATGTGGCTTTGCCGGCCTCGCTGGGCTGCTGGCTTGAAGGATCGGGCACGGGCGGTCACGTGCTGCGTTGCGGCCGGCTGGTGTTCCATCGCGGCCCGGGCTCTGCTGCGCCTGACAACGGCCAGCTGGGCCTCGCCGAGCCTTGGCTCTCGCAGCAACTTGCCTCTTTCGCGCGGAGCGACGACGGACAGAGAATGGCGGCTCAACTCGCGGCGGCCCCGCCGAAATTCCGCCCCCGTGGACGAACGCAAGCGTGTGAAGTCTTCAACTTGTGAAGGCGGCTAACGAGACTTGCTGCTACAGTACCAGCACGACTCAGCGATGAAGCGTTTTATTGGCAATACTGCTGCGAATACGACGCCTTCGCCATTGCGGCGGTGCAAGTTATCCTCGGATACATGGTCCGAAGCTGTGGGGCAGGGTGGCGTAGCCCGGTCGCTCAAAGTTTCAAGTTGGTGTGTCCTCGGCGCGCCTGCGCCTCGCTCGCCCTCCGTCTCGATGGCGCCGATCATGGGCTTGTTCATGGGCTCGCCCCGCCACTGAACGCCATACCCTCACGATCGCAGGAACTGTCGATTGCGTCCATAGCCCCCGAGATTTTTTTTCACTTGCAATGCAAAGCCATACGAAACTTCATCGAGCCAAACGGAACCAAACAAAGGAATGGCAATGGCTGCCATATACATGTATGTGCATGTACTTCCGGCGCCTCATGTCTCGTTGATGATCACGATAGTCGTGCGCTCGTAATTCACCAAGTGCAGCTTGGCGCCATACGGCTCCTTCTGAAGCAGGCGGTGAACTAGCGTAATTTACGCTGCAGCACACACGCGCTTCAAGGGGCGACTCGGTCCATCGGGCATTTGAGACCAACCAAAATGGCATGCGCGTTTACTGCGACAATGTCACGGAACTAAACTGTTCCGTGAAGGTAAGTTTGTAGAAGAAAGCAACGGACGACCCTAAAGGCAAAGATCGTGAAGCCACTCGAGCCGAGATCTCGAAACCACTCGAGAAGATCTCGCGACCCTCGGCAGTAGGTAGAGCTAGCGAGCCCCCACAATACACACTTTGATATTTTCCCTCTATTGCACAAGTCCTGCCAACAACGTCTACAAGCTCAGTATCGCCTGGCGGAGTCCCTGTCAAAGTCCTCCGTCCGTATCCTTCTCCTACGCTTCCTCCGACCGCAACGTGGTGCCCCTAAACGAAGTCCTGTCTGGACGGGGGTTCACCATATTTGCAACAGACAACTTTCCACTCGATGGATCCAACCAGACTTTAGGGCCTAAAGTCGACCCTAGAGAGTTTAGGCGAAAGCAACAACAACAACCAGTATAATACGTCGTTTGCTCGAAGGCCTAGTTTACAACAAAGTACTGTACACACAGAAGCAGCCACAAGAACGCAGGACTCCATGTTCGCGTGACTTTGACTTCTCACTTCACGGCTTTCGCGGCTCTTACAACGACGGCGCACTCATCGTCGCTGTTCCGTTCTGAGGACGCTCCACTCGTGGACTCAGTCGTGGCAGAAAAGGCTGTGCAACCACTCGACGAACACGATGGCGCGGTACACTGAACAGTGCGTGAGCTGGTACATGGACCTCACCGCTGTTGCTGAGGAAGACGCACCCTTCCGTCGGAATCCGTCTTGAGCAACATGCTCGAAGTGGTGGCGTTTGGGCCGCACGTTTTGTTGGACGGCGCCGGTGGTCCCCCGGGTTCAGGGGTCTGCTGTATTGTGTCACACAATACAATTTGTGTGAGCGCAGGAAACACGTCACCCTAGCGTTATAGTTGCAACCGGGGCAAGCACTTCCCGCACACAAAGGCAAAAACGGACGGCGTGGAGTCTTCGTTTTCAATAAATTCAACGACATACAGCGGCACGCTGCCCGCGACACGGTTGGTTGGGCCTAGCCTAGCGGTTACTCGTCGTCCTCCTCGTCGTCCTCCTCGCCCTCCTCCTCGAAGGTGTCGAGCGGCACCGAGAAGAGACGCATGATGGGCTTGTTCGGGTCCTTCATGATCACGTACTTGCCCTCGGGCTGCTCAAGCAGCAGCTCGGACAGCATTTTGATGATGCCCCACGTGTTGTTCTGGTTGAGCGCGATCTGCGTCGCGAACGTGTTGGGGTTGTACGACTGCATGCCCAGCACCACGTGCGAGTACGGGTCCTTGAAGTTCGAGCGCGACACGTAGCCCACCTTCATCTCGTCCACGCCGGCCAGCAGCGCCTGCGCAGTCCACTTGGCCAGCTTGTGCGAGTTGTTCTTGAGCTCGTTCGCCAGAATGGCACCACGCTGCAATAGTAAACAAAATAGCAGAAAAGTTAGTGATACTGTTGACGACAAAGCATCGTAGGGAAACATGCAGGCATGTGGAGAATATCATCGTAGTGGTGGTGTGTAAGTCTCTCCTAGCAATAAGCTCTCCTCACCATGAGTATAGGAATAGCGTATATATAAAGTTGTGGGCATTCATCGAGACCCGCACACCATCACAAACAATACAAATACAAACATGCAGAGGCGCGAGATCTGGTCCATGGTAGAATCCTCTCATCCTTTTCAAGCTTCCTCACCAACACAGTAGGATTAGCGATTCTGAAAAATGTTGTCAATCACCGAGTTTCCGAGCACCAAACCCACGCGCCCCATATATACAGAGCTGCAAGTTACTCTCATCCTTTTCACTTGTCCTCAACAATAGTGTAGGCTTAGCGATTCTGAAAAATGAATCAATCACCGAGTACTCGCAGCTCTCCCGACATACATGTATACACATACACTCGTGCAGTAGTGGACTTTCATCACATCACTTTCTCCTCATCAAGAGTGTAGGAATAGCGTATATAGAATATGCAATCATCAAGTCCAACAACCCACCGGCACATCCTCACGCAGACATACAGACATAGAGATATCCATCCACACACACAGTTCGGCACGAAGCCACAACGCACCTGCGAGTCGATCTTCTTGCGCCACTCGATGGAGCCCGGGAATTTGGGGTCGTACTCGTTGAGCGCGAACGTCGACACGTACTGCTGCGTGCCCTTCTTGAGGGACACACCCTGCACCTCACAGCGGGCCACGAGGTTAAGACCGCCGCCCAGGTCGAACTTGCGGTAGCGGTAGGCGCCGCTGGCAGGCTTCGAGTCGTCGCCAGCGAAGGGGTTGGCGTCGTCGAACTTCTTGTAGAAGGCGCCCTTGCCGCTCTTGAGCACTTGCTGCGACAGGTTCTGGTTGATCATGGTGGCCTCGAGGCTGAGGCGGTCCGGGTGGTTCATGTGCTCCGGGTCCTCCTGGTTGGGCGGCTCGGACGCGTTCTCGTTGACCGTGAGCAGGTCGAAGTTGGACTCGTCGCGCTTGTCGAAGAACACCATGTTGTTGACGCGCTGCGCCACGATGTCCCACGGGTACACGGAGCGCGTGCACGACATGAGGTGCGACAGGATGGCGTCCGTGGCGAACACAGTGGCCTCGCCCTGCTGGGCCAGCTCCTCGATGACCGGGTCGTCCGTCGTCGTGACGTAGTAGAAGTCGCGATCGTCGTAGCGGTGCACGCGCGTGTTGGAGCGGCTCGTGACGCGGTCGAAACCGGCGTCGTACTCGCGCAGCTCGCCGCACCACTTGAGGTCATCGCTCTTGGGGATGTTGGCCTGCAGCTTGGTGAGCTGCTGCATCTCGAACTGGTCGATGAGGTCCCAGCTGCTCTGCACCATGACCGACGCCACGCGGTCGACGTGCACCTCGTCGCGGCGGCCGCGGAAGTTGAGCGCGCGGCGCGCGTTGCTCAGGCGGTCCCAGCGCTTGTTCTGCTTCTGCATGCCCTTCATGCGCAGCTGCGCCGAGGACGTGGTGGGGGCGTTCGGGTCCGGCTTGTCGACGTAGCCGCCGCGGCCGCCGCGCCCGCCGGCGCCGCGTCCTCCGCGCCCGCCACGGCCGCCGAAGCGCTGCTGGTTCCACGTGGGGCGCAGGCGGTCCTCCGTCTTGGGGCGCGTGCCCTTGGACGTGTCCACCAGCTGGAACGTGGCGTCCTCCTTGGAGTCGTGCTTGTACTGGAACTCGGCGTTCACGCCCGACGGGTCGCGCGCGTAGCGGGAGCCGCGCGGCGCGTAGTTGGACACGAAGTCGGCGGCCTTGCCCAGCTTGTCGCCCTTGTTGAAGGGCGCGTAGGGGATGTTGAGGAACTGCTCGGGCAGCGCCGTGGGGCCCCAGCCGTTGGCGTTCACGTCCACGCGCGGCGTCTCGTACGAAGCCATGGTCGGAGCGTGCAGCGATCGAGGAATGATACACACCAGGTCAAGAGGGAAGGGGAGCTCGCTGCGCACCAGTCAACAGACGTGTGTTTAGTGTGTACGTATTGTGTACGTATTGTGTGATGTACATGAATGTAGCCATGATGTGGTACGTGAGAGGACGTTGAAGTCGACGAAAGTGGACGTTATCGTGTTAACCTTACACTTACTCGACGGCTTGCACTTCTTCCGGGGTCAGGGGCGCGGCGTTTGGAGCGGCGTAGTCGACGTCTTGGAGGTACCAGCCCACGCGCGCGGCGATCTTGTCGTGCGCCCACTGCAGCTGGGGCGAGTCTCGCTCGCTCGGGTAGTACATGTCGGCGCAGTGCGCGGTGCCTTCGATGAACACAGCCTCGGCCGAGAACGAGTGCAGCTTGGTCGAGTTCTGCACGGCCAGCGCGTGCCACGGGTCGATGGTGCCACTCGGGAACGTCACGCGCTCCACCTCGATGCCCAGCGAGCCGTAGTCGAGGTTGGCGCCGGCCACGTCTGGAGCCACGTTCATGCCGTACACGCGCTTGCAGATCTCCGTGCCGACGTTCGCCTCCGTGACGGCTTTAAGCGCGTGGAAGGGGGAGCGCACACTCGTCGTGGTCTGGAAGTAGCCGAACTCGTTGCACGTCTGGTACACCCACTGGCGCGCGCTGCTCTTGCCGTCGAACTGGTCGCGGCTCAGCACCTCCACGGTCCCATTAGCTGCACCCTCGAACTTCGAGTCGAGGCAGTCGCCAACGCGCGTCTTCTCAATGAACGACGCCAGCTTCTCCACTGCATCTCCAGGCTTGGCGAAGTGCTGGCAGACCTCGTCCAGCGTCATGACTCCCTCGTGGATGGCATTGTACTGAGCAATGTCCTGGAGCGCCCCCATCACCGACGTCTCGAACACCGAGTCGTCGAACTCGTTGGCCATCGGGTAGCACGGCTTGAAGAGCTCGTCCACCTTGCCGCGGTCTTCCTTCCCGCCGTCCATGAGCTGTCCGAGCTGCGTGATGGCTTGCTCCACTTCATGGTAGCACTCGCCTCCTCCAAAGTACCTCAGTCCGTCCCCAACGACTTCCATGTACTCGTAAAAGTCCGTCTTGGCATGAACCGGCGCAGAGCTCGCCACGGTTCCAGCAAACAGCGCCGGGTATTTCAACCTCACCCACGCCGCCAAGTTGCCCGGGTAGCTTCCTCCAAAGGCCACCCACTTCTCGTCTGTGAGCCCGTACTTGTCTGTCACGAAGGCGTGGAAGTGCGCCAAGTCGGCCAACGCCTGCTCGCTGGAGAGATACTGCAGATTGGGCAGACTCATGTCCTCCGTCGGGTACGACTTGCCATAGAACCGATGCTCCAGAGCGAGCAGCAGCGCTCGGTGCTGCTCTGCCAGGTAGTAGATGAAGGTGCGGTTGGTGATGGCCTTGGGGCCCAGTGGGCCCTCTCCTCCGATGTAGAGGAAGATCGGGAACCCGTGGCCGCCCCAGAACTCCTCGTTCACCTGGTACCTCTGCTTCCACGTCGTGCGCTTGGACACGGGGGCGAAGTGGTCCAGAATGGCTTCGGTGAAGTAGTCCTCCTGGATGGGGAAGTCTACCGGGTCGTCCTCGGACTGGTGCACGTCGAACTGTACGAAATACTCGTGGCCGCGGAAGTCTTGAAGGCGCTGTAGATTGTGCGCTCGCTCCGCTGAAGACTCGGCCAACACCGACGACAGACAGACGCACGCAATGATGCAGAGGAGAGAGGAGAACCAACGAGGCGGCGACATGGCTGCAACGCGCTGGCAGGCGGGGGGAGGAGGGTCTCGCTCGGCTGAAGAATGATGCAGCGGATCCAAGAATGATACGCATCCTCCTCTGCCCGTGACTAGCATCGAATATGACGGGTGTAGCCATCTGACAGCTTCAACTTGGAGGAATCTACTTTAGTGTGGAGGACCAAGGAGCAGACATGTTCTGTGCTGAAGGTGACGAAACTAGGGCTATTGTCGATGTCACCATAGGATCGAGTGTATCATGAATACCCGCTTAAAATCCGGGCTATGAGTCTATTACAAGAGTTTCCGTTGAACTGGTACGTGCACTTTCTTCCTCATTGCTGGCAATTCAACACCTTCGCTGGACTCTCCTCTAATTCTGGTCCGGTTCGAAGATAAGAAAGGGGGTACGCACAAGTTGTTCGGCCACACAATTCTTCTTGCACATCTCCCGTCAGCCATGTCGAGTCGACATAGAAACCAGGGATCCTCTCGCATTGTGGCAGGCGCTACCGGTACTAGCCGACAGAGCTCTTCTCGCACTACAACAGGCCTCACTCGACAGAAGTCGGCACAAGTGCTGAAGAAGTATGCGTCAACGAGGAAGTTCGGCCGCCGACATGAGCTGCAGCGAGAAGATGAACACCTCCACAACACAGCGATCGTCGTCTATTCCAAGCGAAACCCGGACGAAGAGGACACTGTCATGTCCGCACAGGTAAGCGAATGCTTTAGACTGGAAGCTGCAGCAGCTCGAGCTAACTGTGACGTTGTAGTGGCGGATATCGGAGGCTCTGGCTTACGAAAAGTCGATCGCCCGGCGACTAGCAGCTTTCATCAACCGCAAACTCGGAACAACTTCTTGTCACAACCCGACCGTCATCTTGGACCACGTCCTGCTGGGTAGCCGCGAGAACGCTGAAGACAGTCAACTGCTCAACTTTTTGGGTATAACGCACATCTGCAACTGTGCCAAGCAGGTGGGGAATAGCTTTGAAGGCGAGTTCATCTACCTCAAGCTGAACCTGAAGGATTCCCAGGACGAAGAACTGATCCCCCACTTCCAAACAGTAGCTAAGTTCATTAAACGCGTCGAGAGACTGCGAGGCCGTGTACTCATCCACTGCATTTCCGGTGAGCAAGCTCATCTGAAGTGCCCGCAGTCCTCGCTCCACTCACACTATTCGTGATTCTCCACTGTTTCGTAGGTGCTTCTCGTTCACCGGCACTATTGGTAGCCTATTTGATGATTGACAAGGATATGTCGTTGCTGGACGCGTACAACATGGTGCGGCGTAAGCGCCACATTGTACAACCGAATCAGGGCTTCCGACTTCAACTTGCCAAGTACGAACTTATGCTGCATGGCGCCTCCTCTGTTGCAACAACCCCCGACAAAGACTGGAACTTCTACGCTTGGAACGAGGTCAAAAACGAAAGACCTGTTCGTCAGAAATGAGCCCAAACGGGAGTACCAAGCTTGAGGAGTGAGCCTTGCTGTGCCTCAGTTTCCGTCTGGAAAAGTCTCCTTCAGCTCAAACCCGTAGAAAAAGTTTGTCCGGGTGCCTAGCAAACACCAATTATCGATCAGAACCGGCGAGCCAAACAGCGGGCCAATCTCGCTGTTGTCTGGTTCAGTTGATGCTTTTCCAGACGGGTCACAAGTCTGGTAAATGATGTACCCCGTGCTTTCATCGCAGAAGTACAGGTGGCCAGCTGTCGTCGTCACGCAGCAGACCAAAGGCTCGCCGGTGGTGTCATTCAGGCGAAAGACTGTCGGCGAGGCGAACACAGCACCATGGAGATTGGTGGACCACACGAGCTTTCCACTATGAGAGTTCACTTTTCGCAGCATGCCGTCATGTGAGCCAACCACTGCAGACCCAGTACGATAGACGCAGGGCGAGCTGAAGATCGGCTTTTCAGTTGGAAGCCGCCACTTAATGTTACCGGAATTCATCGATACTCCATAAAGGCCACCATCAGCACAACCCGCGACGAGTATCTTGGATTCAGGGTCGGCGTTTAGTCCAGCAAATACTGGGGCTGGTAGCTGCAATTTCCACTGTTCCTCGACGTCGTCGCCAGTGGAGGAAATAAACTGAAATGCCTCGATATTTCCACGGGTTGTGGCAGCAAAGAGCTGCTCTGACCAGCCACAGTAAAGCGGAGTTGAGAAAATACTGCCCTGAAGATCGATTGCCCACTGTTTGTGCCCAGTTGCAGCGTCCAGACCGTATAAATTGCCGTCGTATGCACCGAAAACTACCAGCTTACGATAATCGATCACAAGTGCCGAAGATTTTATCGTTTCCTTAGCACGGAAAGTCCAGCGAGTGTCTCCTGACTGCAGCTCCAGGGCATAAAGTCTTCCTGCGTAGGTCCCTACGTAAACAAGTCCGTGCTTCACACTGAGCGCAGCGCTTGCTTCAATTCGATCGTCTAGCGTAACTCGCCAGATCTCCCTCCCATTATCCTGCACGTCGACGCAGACTAACTGGGAAGAGTGAGAGCCGACGATAGCCCAGGTGGAACTGACTGCACCATTGACGTCGTGACGCTGAATTACCAGAGGAGACGCATCGATACACTTCTCCAAATCAACACGCCATCTTCTTGTCAGCATCCACGACGTGCTCAATGACTGCGGGCAGGCGTAGCAACTCGGTATGAAAACGCCGTTGATGCCCAGGGAGGATTGGTTGTAACGCGATAGATAAGTCAGCGCACCAGGGCAGCGTTTTTCATCGGCGCTTGTAGCAATGTCCGTCACCAGCTTCCGCCGCTTGGTCGCACTACCAGCCTGAGAAGCAGTCTTCCCGGCTATAGGGGCTTTATCACGGTGATAAACTCCATGTCGAGTCGAATCAGGGAAACGCTTTACCCCGGTATTCTCTTTCCATGAATGTAAATTAGATAAAACTGCTCCAATTGTCATCCCGAGCTATACAAATGCGACACCAATGAGTGGGTCAGTACAATATTCAGCTGGATCTGACAGAAGAATTAGTACAGGACGTACCAATTCGTGGCTTTTGACTGAATGCGCCCCAAAGATTTTATTGAGCTCGTACACAATCAAGGTAGCCAGCAGCGAATTTGCGCCAAGTTCACCGAATGTCCGAGCTTGAACCTCATCTGGAATCTCACCCTGAAGCTCAACATCGAGGGTTTCCTTCAGTATCGTCGCAAGCATCTTCTCAAGCGTGCTTGTTGCATTTTCATTGGTGGTCGAGCCTTGCATCGAACTGTTGCTACCTCCAGTGTCATGAATGAGAAGTTTTTCCAGCGCTCGACGGTCAATCTTCCCGTGCGAAAGCCGTTGCACCGCATCGGTAGGCACCACAAACACTTGATGTGGAGTATGTGATGCTCCATAGTGCTCTGCAATCCAAATATTCAGAGCTTTCACGCGAGGATATTGAATAACCGAGGCGTTGACCATGTCGTCACGAATGATGCAAGCCACTATAACCTGTTGAAGTATCGCGTGCTTACCTACCTCCTTTGTCGTCGTGAAAGCGATCACCTGCATGTTGGTCAAATCTGGTGAATCTGGCAATCTCTTGGTACCGGGAGCATCGGCATCTGTCGTTTCTCTTAGTGCGGCAGCCACTGCACGCTCCACGGCCTCCAAGTAAACTCGCTGTCCGTGAATTTTTACGGCATAATCCGCTCGTCCACAAAAGTAGAGGCGTCCTTGAATTACAGAGCAGACATCTCCTGTGCAAAACCATCGCTTTGAAGCCAAGAGTTCATTGTTGCAACTCTCCAGCAGCTTGTCTGAGGTTACGAACGCGTCTTCATCGTGGTTATTGATGTAGCCAAGCGATACAAGTGGTCCAGACACATAAAGGATTCCCTGAACAGCCTCAGGAGTAGTCTCTCCGGACGGAGGCCACACAACTGTAGAGGTGGAGCCACTCAATTGAGAACTATCGCTTGATACCAGTAGCAGAGATGTTTCCTCACCACCCACGACTCCATTGTTACTTAGATTAGCAATAGGAACACCACGTTCCTGCCATTCAGTCATTTGAGCAGAAGTCAATGGCGCATTCAACTCCATGCACGTCACGTCGCCGCTCATTTCCGTGCTGCCTGCAAACGCACGGTACGAATTAGTTCCATTCAGTTTCAGATAAAGAGAGAAAGAGTGTCCTGCGTACCGTAAAGATTCAGAATGGTCACGTCTGGTAAGGCTGTCGTAAGTTCTTGAACGACACGCAAGGAGAGAGCTTCCCCACTGCTCAAGATATAGCGAAGTCCGGTCAACTTTTCCTGCCGATCAGTCTCTCTTGTTTGCAAGAGCAACATCGCCAACACGCTCGGGACAGCAGTGAACCGTGTAATGCGCTCGGTGCGCATAACTTCCAAATACCGCGCTCTATCATCGAGGACGACACTTTTCGCAATGCCCTGGTCTGCGGAAATACCGTCTTGATGTCGGCGTGGCTGTTGGATATGAACCAGAGGCACGCGCTGCAAGAACGCACCGAGTATTTCCCATACCGAGTCCACAAACGAGAGCTTCGTAGCCCGCAGCACTCTTTCACTGTTGTTGTCCGCAAACGGATACGCCGTCCACATCCATTCCAATCGAGTCCAAGCTCCTGTGCGCGTTCCCAATACGCCTCGAGACTGTCCTGTCGTTCCCGACGTGAAAAGCACATACAGCGGCGCGGCAATAGCCTCACCATTCTTCTCCGCTGTCACTTTCCGTCGCTGCAGCGATTCCTCTCGCTCAGACTGAAAGAACTCATCCGGAAACACCAGCATTTGCATAGGCTGGAACGGGCTCGTCTTCAAGTCGACGGTTCTCAACTCTACGACCCCGGTCACTTGGCCATCGCTCGAGGCAAAGAACTTCACCAGTGGACTGCACGCAGTCGTCACGAGGCGCTGAATCCCCGCACTTCTGACCATCTCAAGCTGTCGAGCGACTGGAAGCTGAGCATCCACGGGCACATAGGCCCACCTTCTCTCCTCTGCCAGCAGCAGCATCAACGCCGTCTCCTCAACCGAGAACGGCGTCACATTGACCCCCACGGCCCCCCACTCGTCCTCTCCAAGACTCAACGCAGTCTTCACCTCCCGCTGCCATGTTCGCACCTGCAAACACGAGACCTCCTCCCTCCCTCCACCACTGCAAAAGCTCTGGATCAGCGCCACCGCCTCGTCCTCCGCGTGCAGCGCCCAGAACCTCCGCAGACATTGACACAACCTGCTCATTTATTGGCTCGGAGCGTGTGGCTCGAATCTCGGGTCGGGAACAGCTACGATAACGCTCCACATACATCCACCCAGTTTGCACACGTCGCAGAGGAACATAAAACAGCATCACCCTTCGTGATCCGGAGACGGACGAACAGCCCCATCAGACCGAGATATCCCTCCTCTGCTCTGATCATGGACGCCGAGCAGCTCCCCTTGGTGCACCGCGACGGCTCTGGCCCCGGCGCTGGAGCCAGCAGCAGCGACTCGCTGCAGCAGCAGCTCTCCAGCTACCACGAGCGCCAGCGCGCGCGCCAGAAGCGGCGCCACCGCTCCAAGACTGTGGGGCGCGCCACCGTGGGCTTCCTGGCCGCCTCGCTGCTCGCGCTGCTTCTGGTGGCGCTCTCGTGGCCGGCGCAGCGCAATGAGCGCGCGCTGGAGCTGCGCGCGCTGCTGGACGCCTACGAGCACGCGCGCAACTTCTCGGGCGTCGTGCGGCTGAGCCACAACGGCCAGAAGAAGCTACAGCAGGCCATGGGGCTCGCCAACGTGCCGTTCGCGCAGCCCATGCACGAGCACAGCGTCTTCCCCATGGGAGCGCACGTGCAGCTGCTCACGGCTGTAGCCATGTACCAGCTGCAGGAGAAGCGTGTCGTGGCGCTCGAGCGGCCTGTGGCCGAGTATCTGACGGTCAAGGACTGGAAGGAGTTCGGACTCGAGAGGAACCAGACTGCGTGGTGCCCCAAGGTCGGTACGGCCGGCGACTGCGAGCAGGTGACGTTCCAGCACTTGCTGTACATGGGCTCGGGCATCCAGAGCAGGGAGACGACAAGCGTGCAGACGTTGGAGACGTTGGGGTCCTTCGGTCGACAGGTCGGACATTTCATCGACGCCCCGCTGGCGTTCAAGCCCGGCACGAGCTACAAGTACGCGGACGAGAACTACGTGCTGCTTGCGTACATGGTGGAGAAGCTGAGCGGACTGTCCTTCGGAGAGTACCTGGACAAGCACGTGTTCAAGGTGCTGGGCCTGAAGCTCACGCGGTTCGATCCGTACGCGGGGGCTCTGGGAACTCGACATGGACTTGTGGACCAGTACGTGCAGTTCTACGCGCATCGCAAGCCGAACGTCAGTGAGAGTGAGAGTGAGAGTAGCAGTAGCAGCTCGAGTGGACCTGACCAGATCGCGGAGAAGCATCTGCATCACATGGCGACGGGATCGTGCGCCATCTACCAGGGACTCGACAACAGTCTTCACGGGTTGCAGTCCACTGGCAAGGACATGCACAAGATCTACACGGACCTCTTCCACGAGCGCGGCCACCACTCGAAGCTTCTGATGCCCAAGTCGATCGAGCAGATCCTCAACACTCGCAACCCAGAGTTCCCCGCGTTTGGGCAAGGAATTGGCGTCGATTTCGAAGAGACCCCTCAACCAGCGGCGTGGCCCGCAAAGATCGCGTTCTGTGGTCGCACGGCCTGCACGACGACCTGCATGGCGATGCAGATACCCGCAGCCAACATGTCCATCGTCGCCAGCGCGTTCAGCAACGACGTGCGTCTGTACTTCCCGACTGTCGACGCGTTCCAGGTGTACACACCGCGTGATTTCCTCGATAAGCGCGATACTGCAGTCGACAAGAACGCGTTCAAGAAGAACGACGGTGAGGTGAACACGTTGGCGTGGAGCTTGCTGCAAGTTTTTCTACGATACTACGCAGCCCCCGATAAGTGAAAAAGGAAAGCTCACGAGGTGCCCCTGCGTAAACTAAAGCTTTTAATGAGGTGCCCTTCAGATGCCCCGTATAATCTAGCTACCGTACAAGCATATGTAGTTACCATGATGGTATCCTCAAAATGAGCTTGACGAAATGGATGTAGCCCTTGTCAAGTAAAGCGAGGTAATGGTGCCTGAGAGAAGCGCAGGACAAAATGACCATAGCACGCCAAAACATACACTGTACAGCAACAAATGGCTTCAATCGCAAGGAAACCAAATGTGCGGTCGGGTATTGGCGGGTCGTCATGAATGTATCTCTCTACCAACTGTAGTCAGTGTCTGTGGCCTTGAAAAGTTAGGTGCTGGGCAGTTGGTGCTGAAACTCCGGTACGAAGGCTACCATATCTCATTAGACTTTTAGTTCACAAAGGGGTACCCCATTAGGACCCAAGTAAGTGGGTTAACCTCACCGGCCCAAGTAGAAAAATACTACGTAGTATAATACACGTTAGGTATCTCCTCATTACATGGATGTGCTACCAGTAGCCGCAGCACGTCTTGCTGTCGCCAGCATGGCCTCCCCGACCTTCTCGACGCCATTCCGGATTCGCTCCACCACGAACGGCGGCATGTAAATGTCGGATTTACGGATCCGCAAGCACCACCAGCGAGTGATAACCACCATGGGCTCCCCTTCCTCGGACTGGTCCATTGCGACCATCGTGATCTGCGTCATATCCTGCCTCACACGGGTCTCTGGGCGATACGGGAACAGTTCGTCTTCGTCCACCGCATCGCAGATCATAAATCCAAACTCGGGCTCGCCACTTCCGGGTGGACCCGCGGGGCGGTACTCCGCAAAGGCGACGTTGTTTGTGTCTGTCTGTACCATATCGCCGACTGTAGCTACAAGACGGTGTTGTGCCACGGGACTTCCTGGGATGGCGTCGTCATTCTCGCGCACCGTGATGTCTCCTACCACCTCGGAGAGGCTGATCTCGATATTGTAGACGAAGAACTGGAGCGCGTCTATGATCGCCTTGACACTGCGCCCCCCCGGCAGCGGCGTGATCTCGAAGCGGGTTGACACGAGGTCGCCGTTCGTTGCTTCGTACTTCTTACGGTCGCAGAATTCCGCCGTGGACATGTAGTGCTGGTGTCTCTGCTGCATGAAATGATGACCAACCTGCAGCCGGTCGTTCTTCATCTTCAACAGTTCGGCCTGGCGCGCGAATGGATCCTTGCTCAGGCGTGCCGGTAGATCAAAAGGCTCTGTTGAGTTGTCACGCTGTAGGTAGCAAGGTGAACGACCAAATTAGACGCCGCATGCACCATAGGCTCCTCCCAGGGCTGAACGTACGAAGAATTGCGTGACCATGGACAAGGTGCTTGCAAACGAGAGTCGCTGCGAATGAAGGGCATGGCGCATGTTTTGGTTGACGTTTTCGCGCTCGATAAGCGCCTCTCGCTGCTTTAGAATCTCATTCCGGTAGGCGTAGTACTCCATCTGCTTCTTCAGTCGCTTCATCTCATCTGTCAGCTCCTCGATCTCCGTCTGCACAAGGACACCACTCAGTACGCAATGTAAACAGCAGCGGCAGCAACTGTAAGAGTAACAGCACTCACTCTCCGGCGAATGTACGTCCGGATTTTGGGCTTTGGGGGCTTCGGCTCCCGCTTCTTCGTCGTGCGTCGCGGCCGCTTGGCCGGTCGAGCGACAACGTCAACATCCGGTCGAAGTTCATCGAGCGACGCAGACACGTCGCTGGCTGTAGATGCTGCTGGCGTTACAGGCACGGACGTGGAAGGCTCTGAGGCTGAAGCTGAGGCTGGAGGGCTGCTGGCCATGGCGGCGACCTGCTCAGCTCGAAGCTTACTTTACTCGAAGGACTGCCCGTTGCGCACTGGAGGCACGGATCAAGCGTGACGTAACTTTGATGAGCATCATCATGTGTGTACCACCCAAATAACCTCATCTTCAAGCGAGGTTTTATCGTGGAATCCCACCTTGTTTTGAGAAAAGCTGTCACGAATACGGTCCTTGAGCATAAACAAACGTGTTCAACGAAAGCGAGTTTGCATCGAATCGATATTCGTGGCCTTGAATCAAGCCCCCGGCAGTCTGTAACGCAACGGCAAAGGCGCAAAGTGACTCTGCCTAGACGGGGTGTGTTGAGTTCGAGAAGGGTGCTTGTGAGACGGCGACAAAACGAGCGAGACATCTGCTAGTTGCGACGGAGACGGCGGCTCTGCAGCTGGTGTACGTTACTTTCTCTCTCAGCGAGAATGGTGGATGGGGGGGGGGTCTGGTTCGAACTTCAAATGTACTTCCGGGGAAAACGACTACAGCTGTACATGTAGCTATGTACTCATCCTACTGCAGCCTCGCCTCGCCTGCATACAACCAGTGGACTTCGCGGCACACCGTTGACTACCTTTGAGCACCTGGGCTGTATCATATCGCTACGTGCACAATAGGATAACACAACGATACCAGCAGGCTGCTGGTGCAACCAGCAATGACGAAGATATCCTTCTGTTACTAGGGATTATACATGTATCGTGCTGCATTCGACCGTATCGAGCTGAGTACCAAGTACCTAGCTATTTGTGATGATGATACAAACTGTACCGAAGAGTCCACACCTTGGGCTTGGATGGGATAGGAAGGATCGACTGCGTTGCTCTACCGGTAAAGCTGCACCACTCCCATTTATTCACCTTTTTATCATTGCACTCTTTCTTTCTCGTCCTCGACGTCATGCTAAAACGAATGGACAGAAAAGCTGCTCCAAAACCTAACCTTTGAAACCAGGACCAGTCATATGCTACGGTATCAACTCTCCTCAATCCAGGGACAGTGGTGGCTTGACGTGGTAATGCACCATGCAGACCGCACGCCGGCCGGAAGCTTCGTTCGGGGACGTCCTGGACGGCGCCATATCGGACGTGGTGGACCACCGCCAGGACAAATGGTACGGCGTCTTCATGCCGGCGTTGCGCACCTTCCACTCGCATTTCGGTCACACGGAGGTGCCCGAGGAGTTCGTGGTGCCGCATTCGACTTCGATGTGGCCGCGACCCACGTGGGGGCTGCACCTCGGCCAGATCATCAGTCGCAGCCATGACACCAAGAGGCTTTACAGGGAGCAAGTGGAGGCGTCGCAGCTGGACCTGCAGAAGTTGGGCTTCACCTGGAAGGTGACGAATGCCGCGGATCGGTCCTGGAGGCACCAGGTGCTGCCGGCGTTGCGCGTGTTCCACCAAGAGCACGGCCACTGCAACGTCAAGAGCAGCTTCGTGGTGCCCGAGTGGGATCCGTGGCCGAAACAGTCGTGGGGATTGAACCTCGGAGCCATCGTCAAGCGGGTTCGAGCGGGGAAGAGCTACGCCGACCAAGCGACTCAAGACAGTGCGGTGCTGGAGAAGCTGGGGTTTCTGTGGGACCCGAGGGATGTCGAGTGGCAGGAGTGTATTCTACCGGCGCTGGTCACGTTCGCGGATGAGTTTGGGGAGGAAGTGCCGTTGACGTCGGACTTTGTGGTGCCGTCCGAGCCGCCGTGGCCCAAGCAGACGTGGGGGCTCGAACTCGGATTGTTCATGAGTGACGCGCAGAGGAGAGAGCAGTACTTTGTGCAGATTATCAAGGACGCGCATGTGTTGGATGAGTTGGGCTTCGAGGTGAGCTTATCGGACACGACTTGGGGGCGACAGGTGGTCCCGCTCCTGACGATTTACTCGACGATTTACCCGAACCAACTGAAGCTTGCGGAAGATTTCGTAATCCCGCACAAACAACCTTGGCCCAGGAAGGTGTGGGGGCTGAAGCTAGGCGAAATCGGAGCGCAGAATGCCATGCGCTTGGCTGATGCGGAGCTGGAGTGGAAAGAATGGAGAGACTTGCCAGAGACTGTATCGCCCGTGTCGGAGAACAGAAGTCAGCAGTGGAAGATCCGGATCTTCCCAGCCTTGGTCACGTTCGTCAAAGTGTTCGGAGATTGCCGACTTGGCGGCCACTTCACCGTTCCGTCTGAAGATCCGTGGCCAAAGCCCACGTGGGGGCTGCGTCTTGGCGCTGGAATTGCCGACTATTATAAGAATGGGACGTACTTCGAGCAACTCGGACGAGACGCAGATCGCTTGGCGCTACTCGGATATTCCTTCAGGGTATCAGAGACTCCGTGGGAGCAGTACGGCGCTCCGTTACTTGAGACCTATTCGACTATCAACCCGTGCGTTGTGGTGCCCGAGAACTTCGTGATCCCATCTCAAGCTCCGTGGCCAGAAACAATGTGGGGCGTCAAGTTGGGGATCCTGGTGCGATGGAATTCCCAGCTCATGACCTCAATCGAGAATGAATGGAGGGCGCAGGTGCTGGCGGCGGTCGAAGTTTATCGAACGGGGTTTGGAGACGTGCCTATCGGCAAGAAATTCGTGATCCCGTCGCAACTGCAATGGCCGAAGAAGACGTGGGGTATGGATCTGGCACGGATCTTACATCGTTTGCATATCGGGGAGTGTTACGACGGTCATGGGGCTCTAGCAAGGAACTCGATAGCTAGGCTAAAACACCTGCTGCACCGTCGTCGGGATGAAGCTTGGGAGTCAATATTCACGGCCCTGCAGGCATTCACCAACAATTACGGACACTGCATCGTAAAGCCACATTTCGTTGTTCCGACCAGACCTTCGTGGCCAAAGGCGGTGTGGAATTTGCAACTAGGGCAGATCGTCGAGAAGATGATAGCAACCGGCAACTTTTTCTCGTACGCTGGACGGACTGCCAACCGGTTGAACAAACTCAACTTCAGTCTGACGCTGTCGAGCTCCGCGTGGGAGAAGAAAGTCGCTCCTTTGATCGCCACTTTTGCTAATCTCCACCCTCGAGACGCCATCCCACGAGCGGCTGGAGGTGGCTTCTCAATCCCATCGGAGGAACCGTGGCCCGAGAATGTCTGGGGAGTGAACCTCGGAGCTGTCGTGCAGTGGAATTTGAAGCGCTTGGAGACCATTGAACGGGACTGGAAGGCTCAAGTGCTACAGGCGAACGAAGTGTATCGATACGAGAACGGGAACAAGGTTTTGCGGGATAAATTCGTGGTGCCCTCTCGATCTCCATGGCCTTCTAAGACTTGGGGGCGCGAGCTTCGGCACATTTTGACGTGCGTTCAGATTGGGCAGCACTACGGGGGACACATTGCTCTCGCCAACTTTCACTCGAACGACGCCTGCGTCGTCGCTAGTCCACAGAATGAGCAGCAGTGGAAGGCGGTCATCATGCCAGCTCTTCACACGTTTGCCACAGTCTTTGGACACTGCGCAGTTGAAGAAGACTTTGTCGTTCCCCCTCTTTATCCATGGCCAAAGTCTGCGTCCGGGGTGAATCTAGGCAGTGTCGTTGCAGCTATGGAGAAGCTCGGGCTCTACTTTGCCGAGGTGGGGCTCAACGCCGATCGACTGGAGACTTTCGGCTTCAGGTACAAGTTGGCCGATGCGCCGTGGCAGGAGCACGTCGCCCCGTTGCTGAGTACATTCGCGTCTCAGTATCCTCACGAGATTCTTCCCGAAGACTTTGTGATTCCAGCAAAGGACTCGTGGCCCCAGCAGTTCTGGGGGCTGAGGCTTGGCAAGATCTTCATGTGGTCCTCTCGATACGTCTGGAATCACAACTACGGAGCGAAATGGACAGAGCGCGAGATGCCAGAGAACACAAGTCTAGCAGGAGAGTATGGCTACTGCCGCGTTGCGTCTAGCTTCAGGGTCCCCAGCGAACTTCCGTGGCCTAAACAAATGTGGGGGCTGCGGATGAAGACGTACCTCCGTCAGATGAATCAAAGCGGCGACCTGTTCATCCCTGGCGGACTTCAACGCGCCATGATGAACGAACAGCAGTTCGGCTTCGTCTTCAAACTCGCTACGGAGGTTTCGTGTGGAATGCCCCAACGCGACGAGTACCGAGCAGATGAAGAGCAGATCGAGCGTATCAACGTTGAATCAGAAGAAGAGGAAGAAGTTGAGCCTGAAAGGTTACTGGGCAAGCAACAGCTACCCAGTGCGTTCTGCAAGAAACGAGAGGGCTGGGTGGGCAGCTACTCGCCCAAGGCTCGCAAAGCTCGAGTGGAGAGGTTCTTGAAGAAGCGGCAGGAGCGCGTGTGGGTCAAGGAGGTCAAGTACGACGTGCGTAAAAGTTTTGCAGACACGCGACTGCGTGTCAAGGGGCGATTTGTGACTCGAGAAGACGAGAAAACTATGCGGGAGCTGCTCAGCTTCACGTGATCCGATCTACAGTATGAATGAGCTCAAACGAACTTCTCATGTACCAATAAAACGTGACATACGATTACCATTTACATGTAGCTGGTGTTTCACCAGCTAGCGTACTACTACGCCGGTGGTGAAGTATTACGCTTGTTCCTGAATTCTGTTCTTTTGAATCGAGGGGATTGGGAAGCTTGGACTGGACAACTGGGCAACAGATCTCAAGCTGTATCGATTACTTTCCTGCATTCTATGCCGCACAAACGCAAGCAGAACACGTGTTGCAAGTGCTAAAGGCATGATTCGAAGCTACCCAACCGCGGCGACCTTCGCAGCGTCGGCACCCGCGACACCGGCCACGTCTTCATACAGTGATGCACTTGATTTGTCTGATGAAGTCGAGTCACCACGCTCAGAGCCTGCGGCTGAAGCCGGTCCGCCTTTGAAGCGAACACGACGGACGGTCAAGAAGCGAGAGCCCAAGCCCAAAATTCGGACGTATTACCGACGGAAGGTGAGAACTATGTCGGTACTTGCATATCGGCCGTCTACCAGCACGTTCTAACTGCTGCAGGTAGACAGAGATCGAGGAGCTCACAGACGAGATGGAGAAGCTGAAGAAGCAGATGAGGTACTACCAGGCACGGAACGAGACGCTCAAGCAGCGCGAGACACTGGCAGAGCGCCAAAAGATCAACCGAACAATGCGCGAGGCTCTTCAAGCCCAACGTCTATCGTTCGCCAGCACGGCGTCTCTGATCACGCAATTCTACGTACGTTATCGTGCTCTACTTTGTAAAAATATTCGCAGATGACTCTAAACTCTTATGTTAATTGGCATTATTTTCTAGCGTGATAGTGTCACCCAGCCATTCGATCTCCCAGCTCGCCTCGGCCGAGACCCAATGGAGCGTGAAGCTGTGCTTCTGCGAATGAGGACCGACCGCCTGCAGGTGGCGCACAATTTCATGGTTCAGCGTCGAAATTACCAAACCACGTCGGAATTCTGCGATCGTAAGAGGTTTGAGGCCTCCCATGGGGACCTCGTGTCACTCCGATTCGAGGTCATACCCCTCCCGGGTGCGCGCAGCGTCAAGACAATCATCGACGCGCTTGAGGACTTCGTCTACAACCTCGAGATCAGTCTGTCTGACGCCATTGGCGATATCACAATACGGGAGAACGACGATCCTGACCCTGATAGCCCCGTAGCTCAGCATCGTATTGTGGCCACAATCGCTAACCTGGTGCAGACGGATACCAACAACATTGCATTCGCCGAGTACCGTCCAGCAGGGCCGCCGGGGAGCGGCGAGAACGAATTGGGCGTCATGATCTGCGACGCTATTGACGAAGACGAACTGTTCCCGTATCGCCCACTGCAACGCGTGAGGCAAGACATGACCGTCATCACGTACGTGACGCATGAACACGGGGAGAATGGAGAACCGACCATCGTCATGACTCGCTGGTGGTGCCTTCGACTCCGGAAATCCCACATCTACGTGCCGCCGCTCGCAGTGGACAGAATCATGGCCGGCGTCGAGAAAGTGAGTGCGGCGATGCTTCAAACCGCACGGCGAGCTAGTGGGTTGGCCACATAGACGACTTATCCGTCTAGGAATTAGCAACTCGTCCTAGGTAGGACGTGCACGAGCCTTGAGCTCATCCAGAAAATTCCGTGGAGTGGCGCTTTTGTTGTTGGGTTTGAGCGTTGGTGGAGGCAAAGCCTCGTTACTATCCGTGGTCTCGACGCTGATGCTGGCTTTACGAGCGGAAGCACTCTTGAGTTGGTCCAAAAAGTTCATGGGCTTCGAGGCTTGACCATTGTCACCGGTATCTTCCGTCGCCAGTTTTCGGCTCGACGCGTTTTTGAGTTCGTCCAGAAAGTTCATGGGTTTCTTGGTGCTCACGGGGGTGGAGGGCTGCTCGCTGTTCTCAGTTTCTGAACTTGCTGTCTTTCGCTGAAAACGATTTTGTAATTCACCCAGGAAATTGACCTTCCCGCCTCCAAAAGGTGACGGTCTAGGAGTTCCTGGATTCGAGTTCTCAGCTTTTGGCGAGTTGCCGTTCTCTTCTGCCTTCCTAGCCTCGAGGAGCTTCAGCAACGCTTTCGACTTGGGCGGAACGACAACAGTTGGCTTCGGTGGTTTTGGTTCGTCTTCCTTGGCTGATATGCTACCAGACCTGGGGGTTAGTGGCATTGATCGTGAGCTTCGTGGCGTTCGGACCATTTGCTCCTCTTTCGTGATCGAGACTTCACCCGCTTCTTCCGACTCTGATGCTTTCTGGGATGGCGATAGAAGACCACCTTCCTTGCCACGCATCGCGCGCTTGGGGCTGCAAAAGTCTTTTTCGAGGAACTGCAGGACACCAACCGCTACCTGCAGAGACTTGACTCGTTTAAACCCGCGTTGTGGAGCCTCGGTTGACCCTTCAGGTGTCTCATTCGACACAGAAGCATCCGTCATTTGCTTATCCTCCAGTTGCATCAAGCGTAGTGCTTCCACTTCAGTCTCGGTCATGACAACAGACTCCACCTCTGCAGTCTCCGGATCCACCGAGACTGCTTGGCTTTCCTCCACGACAGCCACCTCGCTGATATCATGACTCCGCTTCGCTATAGCGTTATCCAGTTCCCGCTTCCTCGCCTCAGCCTCCTCCTCAACGGACAGCTTCTTGAATGCTGCACGCTCTCGAGGCTGAATGTCGACATCAGCTGGGAATGGCCCACGAATGCATGCCGCGTTCCTAACTTCAGGATCTAGAGCTCGAATCTGAGCCACTTCAGCTTGATACTGCTCGTACGTCGGGGTCATTGTCGACCAAGCGCGCTCACCGTGAGCTAGCTCGCCCTTGACAGTATCTCGCTCCTTGCACAGTGTCAAATGCTGCTGCTTGGCTTCCTCGCGTAGAGCGATCAGAGTGGCTTTGCCAAAAGAGCGCAAGAGGTCTTCATTGCGAGCGTCCTCTGCTACAGCGACATATTCTGCTTTAGCTTGCGGGATGAGTTCCTCGTCCAGAGTCTTCAACCGCGCGCGCTTGGACTCTAGTCGGATCCTTTGGCGCTCGAACTTGTCTAAGCGCGCGTCGATCTCTGCATCGGTCGGGTAGCAGAAGATCGGATTGAGCTGCTGTCTTGCTGTGAGTTCCGGTAGCTGTACGTCTCGCCTTGCGCACTTGGCGGGGTCCCAGCCAGCCTTTATGGTCTCGTGTTGCTGCTGAGCAGCGAGCTGCCGCACGTGCTCGATAAACGATGCACGCCACGCATTCTTCCGACAGTCCTTGTCAAACGCGAAGGTGTCTGGGAGGACTCGAGCCATCGCGCGCAGTTCGTTGATGTCGTAGGTGGCGAAGTCCATGAAGAAGGGCGCGCTCTCGATCGCTAAGAAGTTGGCGCGCGCAATGTCGTCTTCATGAGTGACCAACCAGTGCAGGAAGCGATTCGTCTTGAGGTAGGCAGCGAGGTCGTACGTGTACAATACCCCTCCTTCCTGAGCTCGAGCGATAAGAGCTTCCACTGACAAGTCTGCGATATCAATTGGAACGTACGTTCTCATCAGTGCCAGACACTCCTCGTTTTTCTCGCGCTGTTTAGCCTGCCACGCCGCCTCGCGCTTCCGCATTTCATCAGCAAACTCTTTGGCCTGTTCGCGGCGCGTCTTCCAGATCTCCACGTCACGCATGGTTCGCTCCAACTCGGTCTCTGTCCGCTTCAAGTCGTGCGCGCGTGACGCTGTGATCCTAGAGGCGAGTTGAGTAGCCTGAGAGCACAGCGTGGACAATCGCTCGCTGCCTTGCGTGCACTCCGGGATTGTACGCAGTGTGTAGAGCAACGAGCGCTTGGCTTCCAGCGTTTGCTCGGAAATTACAGGTGAAGGCGACAAGTCCTCAGCAGCGAAAGAAGCTCCAAAACGATCGGTCTCAGTCCCCAGCCATTCCAGCAGCGTTTGCAGTATTCCCTGCTCCGATTTGAGTTGCTGTTGCACCGTCAAGAGTTCTTCCTTGATACTTTCCAGCCGTTTAGCCGTCGAGATCTCCAGTTGTGCGGCTGAGGCAGCGGCTGAAGAGTCTAGCTTGGCTCGGTGTAGCTCTGCGTCCACGCGGACTGCGCGCAAGTTCTTCTTGGTCTGCACCATATCCGCCTGGTACGTGGTCGCTTTCGTCTTTAGCTCTGCAACTTGTTGCGCTTGTTTCTCTAGTGAGCGCAGTTTGGCCGCCAAAGCGACGTTGGCCTTATCTTCGTCAGCACAGCGAGCAGGCTTGGACAGCTCCTGCATCTCAAATACTAGACGGTCGTAGCGTTCTTCACAGGCTGCAAGATGTCGATCTGCCGCGAGGAAGGCGTTGCCCTTGGCGCTCTCAACTTTCCACTGCAAGTCTTCGTCCGAGATTCCAAGCGATGCTTTGAGTACGCTCACCTGTTCCTGCAGTTTCTCGAGCCTGTTTTCACGCCGGATGAACGACGCGCGAGGACTTGAGCCTGAACCTGGAGAAGCCGTAGAATTCCCTGCATCTGACCCCCCACTTCCACGCACTGGCGAAGTGATCGGGCCGATTGGAGCGACACTAGGTCGACGTCTTCCACCAGGGCCAACTGGGGACATAATCGGCGAAGACGTGCGCCGAGAAACTTGCACGAACACAGGCTCCTGGTGCTGGTGCTGCTGGAAGATCGAAGAGAAGGTCCTGGCTTTCGACGGAGACTGCTGCTGAGTTGGCGCCGTTGAAGGCCTTCGCCCCGCCATCGCGCCGGACCGAGGAGATATCATGCTAGCTCGGGTTATTTTCCTTGAACTGTCGGGGCTGAGGGGCATTCTGCTGGTCACCTGCTTCGCTTGAGTAGTCGGGCGTTGATTCTGCTTGCTATGTACACGCTGTGGAGCCCCACCGCGACCTAGTGACGTGCTGGTTGTGTTTATCCTGTGAGGTTTCGTAGCTGCTGCCGGTGACTTGGTCGCTGCTGCAGGTCCGGGGTGTCTCCTTGCACCACCCGTCGGCGATGACGGTCTCCTGGTAGTAACGACGCTTGGTTTCCTTCGAGGCGCGACTGCCGCTCGACTCGCCATCGTGGACTGCAGCGAGTACGTCTTGGCAAACACCTGCTTGATGGCAGCAGCAGTCGGGGACCGTCCACCTGGGGGCAGATACACCATACTGGTTCTCCGCTCCTTCGACGGACTACCGGCGCTATTGGTCGCTCTCGACCCTGCAGAGTGTACCGACGCCCGCTTGGCTGCAACAGCGGTAGGTTTAGAGACTTGGTTGACGTGGGCAGTGGAGCTGTAGGGTTGGCTTGAGCTGGATGTTGAAGTTGTTGCATCGGAGCTGCGTGGGTCTCGAGATGATGCAGTCGCAGTAGTTGTACCCATTGTTGACGCCTTCTTGATGGGTACTTTCTCGAGGCCGAACTTGCTGTAGAGTAGCTTCTTGTGTTCGAGGAGCTCCTGGCCTTCCGCGTAGAGCCGCAAGCACGCACCCGCTGCGATGTTGCGCTGAGGGGCTGGAGGTGGCTGGTTGGTGGGGCGAGAAGAGGACGCTGAAGCTTGGAGGTTCTGCTGATGGACGCAGGGCCCCCTACGCTGCATACTCTAATACAGACGCACCAGCTGTCTGCCGTAAATGCGGCATCTCGCAAGTGCCAACGGCGCTGGACAAGTTGAGCAGCTATTCTTACGCGCACTTCAACTTAGCTGCAATTTGGGTATCTTACACAATGTATCCATGATGTTATGGCTACATGCTGAGATTGACCCACACTTTTCGAACAGCCGCGAGATATGCTGCCGCCGCGTCTCGTGTGTGCGTCCTGCAGCGTCGTCGGGGCCGGAACCGCGTGCCCCAAGTGCGGTGGGGAGCTCAGCGCCCCCAGCGCCTTCGACTGCGCCAAGCTGGGGCTGCTCCCGGAGCTGCAGGAGCTCGTGCAGCAGGTAAAACGTCGTAAATTGTCCAGCTCAACCCATAGTTGGGCGTGTTTTAACAGCTTAAATGTTTAGGACCCGGATTTCGACGTCAATGCATGTGATGAAGCGTCGAATGCGACATTACTGCACCATGCTGCTATTAGTGGCAAAATGGGGGTGATCGAGTACGTTTTGTTTAAACACATTCTTTATGAAGATTCATTGTTTTAACGCTTTTATGGCGATAGGTTTTTACTTGGAAATGAAGACCTGCGAGCTAAAATCGAGGTGGACGCTCTGGGTGGGGAGATGCAGACGACGCCGCTCTTCTGGGCAGCTTTCCACAATCAGATCTACGCTGTGGAGCTGCTGCTTCGCCACGGGGCAGATCCCAATTTCCGAGACGGTCGGGGCTTTACGCCGTTTCTCGTGGCGATTCAACGTTGCTTCCCCATTACAGCTGCCTACATGATCGCTAAGGGGTCCGATGTGAACCAACGGATGCAGGGTGCGTTGGCTGTGATTTGAGAGAGAAAACGATCACTGTTGATGCTAATGCTGCATGTACTTGTACGTCTCAGATCCGAGCCAAAAGTCAGCGCTGATGCTGCTTTGCCAGCCCCAGCAGTTTCACTTGGATACTTTTCGGATGGTGCTAAGCCTTCAAGCTATTATCAACGCACAAGACGCCGATGGCAACACTGGTACATCATTTGTTTCAGGTAGTTATCCAATCATTTGCTAACTTCACTTTCGTACCTGTTGGAAGCCCTTCATCATGCGGCTATGAACAATATCGCCATGGCTGTGCGGATGCTTCTGGACGTGAGAGCTGACACGACTATCGTGAACAAGGACGGGCTTACGGCGCTGGCAATTGCTCGTGTGCGACTACATCCAGACTCGTCGGCCCGTCATCTTCTCACAGAAGACGAGCAACTGCAACAACTTGCTCGACGTACCTCAATTCAGGTTCGGACCTGTTGTGAATACGGTACTTGAACTTGTTTTCTTAACAAATCTCACCGAGACCATCACTGTTGTGCAAATGTCGACAGAAACAAACCCTCGAGGACAATGTGTACAAGCTCGCGTTTTTCGTACCGTGGGTGGTGTTTCCTCTAGCTTGCTACGTGATCGTGACTGTGAACGGCACGCTCTACATCATGTTGTCGCTTGTCGTTCTATTGGTTGCTGCAATACTGCTGCTTAAGTTGCTACAGCGTGGGTCTTACGGCGACAAACGAAAGGGAGCATCACTCATGTTCGGGATAAACGTTGCCTCGATCGGGTATCTTGTCGGTAGCTTCCCTCGGTTCAGCAGCGAGTGTAGCACCGTGTTCTGCGCATTTGCTGCAGTCTCTTTCGTCATGATTGGAGTCACTCTGTACAAAACGGCAACGTCGGATCCGGGCGAAGTGTTCACGTCGTACGACGAAAAGCTGCATGTACGTTGGCTGCACATTATTTTTAGTGCTGCTAGGAACAATCTTACGTCCTTGTTTATTCTTTCGATTTCTAGAATATCCGCTGGCTGGTGGAGTCCAAGTTACCCAGCGCGACCAAACTCTGCCTCACTTGCCTGCACAAGAGGCCGCTGCGTGGAAAACACTGTGCTGAGCTCAACTCGTGCATCGCAAAGTTCGACCACTACTGTCCGTTTGTGGTTAACGCCATCGGTGCTCGCAACCATGCAGCTTTCCTGGGATTCCTGTTCTCCGCTGTGCTGTCGATCGCGTTGGAACTTGTGGCTTGTTGGCGCTTTGCACGCGTACAGCCCGAGCTCGTGGCCGACTTCACCGTTCAGTGGCAATGGTGGAAGTGGAAATCGTCGTTGTGGAACCTTCTCCTGGGCACGTTTGGCAGTGAGCCGGCTGCTGTCGCTGATACGCCAGGGCTATTCGACTGGATCGGGAGCATTGCGCACTTTCAGCCAGTGCTGTTCTGCATCATGCTGCTGGACGTTGTGCAAATTGCGTGGATCGCCTACATGCTGTTCTTCCACGTCTACCTCATGTGCGCGGCCCTCACGACGAACGAGGTGGTGAAGAGCGAGAACCTGGAACGCGCGTATTCCCGTGGAATCCTCAATAACATCGTGGACTTCTTAGGTCTTCCTGGTCAGCGACCTGTCGACTGGCGTCGGGTGTACAACCTAGACGAGTTCAAGAACCAAGTTGCGTCGTACCCTTCATCAGGAGAAGCGCGCAAGGACCTGTAAGCTTACTGCTACAGTAGTGAGCAAGGCCTATCAAGTATTCAACACCCACAGTTCAATCATTTGCCAAGCTAAAACAAAAGTCTTCAGCGTTTCCTCTGTATTTCTGATTACCCAATGCGTTCAAGACAGCGCAACCGTGCACTACGCGAGCGCGAGTTAGCTGCGATCTCTTCATCAGTAGCTTTGGTAGCTTTTCGGCGCGTTAGACGGAAGCGCTTCTTGCTCAATGGATCGACGCCCTCTGGCTCCTCTTCATCGTCATCATCTTCCTCGTCGCTGTCTTCAAATGCCCACTCGTCCTCCTCATCGTCATCGTCGCTTACTCTGCCTTTCTTGTCCTTTAGGATGCACCGAAAACAATACATGTTAGCAGAAGTAAGAGCTAACCTCAACGCCAGAACCGAGGACGTACCAACTCGCGGAAGAAGTCCTTGATCGGTCGGTCCTCCAGTGAATGGAACGCGATGGTAACTAACAAACCCACAAGCATTAGTTCATCACGACCAGTATTCTCAAAGCATTTTTGCGTACCGAGTCGTCCATTGGGAGCCAAGTGGTTCGCGAGCTGTTTGACGCCACTCTCGACGTGATTCAGCTCGTCGTTCACGTAGATCCGCAGCGCCTGGAAACAACGTGTGGCTGGGTGCGTGCTTCCGACCTTGCTGGCCCTCTTGCCCTTCTTCTTCTTGCTCTTGCCCTTGTCTGCCGACCTCCACATATTGGCAATGCGCTCGATGCACTCGCGCAGGTCCTTGGTGGTCTCGAACACTTTGCCGCGCTCCTCTCGCTCGCGCACAATGGCCTTGGCGAACTCCTTGGCCAGTCGCTCCTCGCCGTAGTCCCTGAAGATCTTGGTCAGCTGCACCTCCGACAGTTTGTTCACTGCGTCCGCCGCCGTCATCGCCTCGGGGTCTCGCTGGTTGAACCTCATGTCCAAAGGTCCGTCATTGAGGACGCTGAAACCCCGTCGAGCAGCGTCGAAGTGGAAACTGTTGGCCCCCAAGTCCACCAGAATGCCGTCCACTTCGGCCGGGAACTCGGCAGCCTCCAAGTGGCTGCCCAAGTCGGCATAGGACCCGACCTGGAAGCTCACGCGGCCGTGGAATTCCGCCAAGTTGGCTCGGGCGATGCTCAGCACCTCCGGGTCTCGGTCCACGCAGAGCAGTCTGGCGTCGGGAAAGTGTTGCAAAAGGGCCCTCGAGTGGCCTCCGAAGCCCGCGGTGCCGTCGACGACGTGGCGAGGCTGGGAGGGCTCCGAGAGGTTGCGAGAGAAGGCGGCGACAGTCTCGTGGAGCAGGACGGGGACGTGCACTGGCGGCTGCGAGCCATCGCTGGGGGTTCCACTGGCGCTGCGGGAGGCGCAAGACGCAGTGGATGCAGTGCAGCGCGATAAAAAGAGAGGACAAGCCCTGGAGGCTCGCAACGCAGTGAGCGAGTGCAGGCGCAGCAGCAGCATGGTCGTCGGCAGTGGTGGCAGCCGCTCGTTTTACTGTATTGCTATAGACAGGGGATATCCGAATGGATACACTTTTAGTAGCTTTTAGGTGGTCGTAATCGAAAGGAATGCAGGGTCACCTCCGCCTTTTCATCGTCTTGCTCGAAGGTCCAGCGAAGCATGCGGCGGAATGGCAGACCGACTCGAGCTACATGTAAACTTTTAAGTTTTAAGTACTGTACGGCAACGATAGCAAGGCGTGCACTGTGCCCGCGTGCAGGCTTCAAGTGGGAACCTGTCAGGTCCATCGCCTGGTCTCCAGAAACTGGACCAGTGCTTCCCTCCCTGTGCCGACTCGGGACTGCCAAGTGGACGTACTTAAAAGTGAGTAGTTTCCTTTTCAGCGTGTAGCAGAGCAGGGCGGGGCGCGATGGTGACGGAAGGCTTCAAGAGGGCTGCAGAAGAGGGGGACCTCGCTACGATTATGGGGTTGGTGGGGCAGGCCTCGGACGAAGAGCTGGCCGATGCGTTGGGGAGAGCTGCGGGAAACGGCCACGTAGACGTCGTGGTGAAACTTGTCGGGGAATGCGGCGTTGACGCGGATGCGAAGGCGAAAGGAGGAGTCACAGCGCTGATGCAGGCCGCTTCCAGTGGCCACATGGACGTTGTCCGGTGCCTCGTTGAGCAATGCAGCGCTAACGCAGACGCCAAGGACAAATACGGATCGACGATGCTGATGGAAGCAGCTTGCGGCGGCCGCATCGCTGTTGTGCGGTACCTGGTTGAGCAACGCGACACTGATGTGAACGCTGTAGACGATGACGGGAGGACAGCGTTGATGCAGGCTGCTCTAAATGGTCATTTCGATGTTGTAGAGTACCTGGTTGAGCGAACCGGCGCTGATGTGGAAGGCAAGGATAAGGAAGGAGCTACAGCGTTGATGCAGGCTGCTGGGCACGGCCATATAGATGTGGTAGAGTTCCTGGTTGAGCAACGCGGCGCTAATGTAAACGCCAAGGACAACCGAGGAGCCACAGCATTGATGAAGGCTGCTCTCAATGGCCACTTTGATGTCGTCGAGTACCTGGCGGAGGAACTCGACGCTGATGTGAACGCACAGAACAAAGACGGAGAGACAGCATTAATGCAGGCCGCTCTCGGAGGCGATGTTGATGTCGTGCGAATTTTGTCAAAGCATAGCGAAGCGGATGTGAATGAATGCTGCGAACGATTACGGGAGGACAGCGTTGATGCAGGCTGCTCTAAATGGTCATTTCGATATCATAGAGTACCTAGTTGAACAGTGCTACGCTGATGTTAACGCAAAGGATAGAATGGGGAACACGGCGCTAATGGAGGCCGCTAACAAGGGACACGCTGAAGTCGTGCGGTACCTGGCGAAGCAACGCGGCGCTCGCGTGAACGGCAAGAATGAGTGTGGAAGCACGGCTATGATGTTGGCCGCTGGCAGTGGTCTGTGTGAATTCGTGCGATTCCTGGCGGAGCAATCTGGTGCTCGTGTAAACGCTAAGGACGATGGCGGGGGGACAGCTTTGATGCAGGCTGCTTTCAATGGCCATATCGGTGTTGTACAGAACCTGGTTGAGCAACGCGATGCTGATGTGAACGCTGTAGATGATGGCGGGTGGAGTGAACCACTTGTACTTGACTGAGCAAAAGACAGAATGCCATTGAATTGAGGTTAGCGAGTAGCAACAAGTACCGGTAGCTAGCTCTGAGGGGCGTCTCCAGGGGGAGACGCTGCTAATGCAACACGAAAGCCAGGTTGAAGCCTGGTACAAACAGAGATGCGCCGAGCACGAAGTAGTGACTTGGAGCGGAGTTGAACGGAGACTGGTCCACGTCTCTGGAGCAGAGTGACACATCTGGAGGCGAGCTTCGATTGGTACTGCGTCGACACGGGAACCGCTGACTAGATCGATGTCGAGTCGGGCGCTTGTCCACGTAGACTTAGACCATTACAACGGGAGGACAGCTTTGATGCAGGCTGCTCTCAATGGCCACTTAGACATCGTGCGGTGCCTAGCTGAACAACGTGACGCCGATGCGAACGCAAAAGATAAACGGGGAAGCACGGCGTTGATGATGGCTGCTGGCAATGGTGAAATCAAGGTAGTGCGGCACCTGACTGAGCACTGTTGCCTCGATGTGAACACGAACGACAACGAGGTATTAACGGCGTTGATGACGGCCGCTCGCAAGCGCCACATCGACGTTGTGCGCTACTTGGCCGATCAATGCAATGCTGATGTGACCACCCAGGATAATAGAAGAGACAAAGTGTTCTTGTGGGTGGCTAACAATGGCCCTATTGATTTGGTGCTGTACCTGGCTGAGCATTATACCGCTGACCTATACGCTAAGAACAACTTAGCATCCATGGCGTTGATGTGAGCTGCTCTCAATGGCAACATGGATGTCGTGCGGTTCCTGGCGGAGCAATCTGGTGCTCGTGTAAACGCTAAGGACGATGACGGGAGTACTGCGTTGATGCAGGCTGCTTTAAATGGTCATTTCAATGTTGTGGAGTACCTGACGGAGCAACGCGACGCTGATGTGAATGCGAAGGACAACAAAGGAGGCACAGCATTCATGCAGGCTGCTCGCAAAGGCCACTTCGATGTTGTAGAGTACCTGGCGGAGCAACCCGACGCTGATGTGCATGCGAAGGACAAGGAAGGAGCTACAGCATTGATGCAGGCTGCTGCCAATGGTCAAAATCAAGTCGTGCAGTTCCTGGTGGAGCAAACCGGCGCTGACGTGAAAGTCAAGGATAAGTATGGAAAGATGGCTATGATGTTGGTCGCTGGCAATGATGAAGTTGAAATGGTGCGGTTCCTGTGGCGCTTGTGTACACGCGAAAGACAACAAAGGAGCCACAGCATTAATGAGGGCTGCAAATAAGGGACACGTTGTTGTGAGACGGTACCTGGCTAAGCAACGTAGCGCTGATGTGAACGCCGACGGCAACGAAGGAGACATAGCGTCGGTCCGGGCTGTGTATAACGACAACTCCGATGTAGTGCGGTACCTAACTAACAAATGTGATGCTGGTGTCAAAACCCGTGACATGAAAGAAGGCACTGCGTTGATGCAGGCCGCTGGCAACGGTGAAATTGAAGACGTGAGGTATCTGGCTGAGCAACGTAACGCTGATGTGAACGCCGTGGACGCCGAAGGAAGTACAGCATTAATGCGGGCTGCCCGCAATGGCCACCACGATATCGTGCAATATCTGGTTGAACAACGTCTCGCTGATGTGGCCACCATAGATAACAGGGGATACACGGCGTTGATGTGGGCTGCTGCCAAGGGTCAAATCAGAGTCGTGTGGTACTTGGAACAACAATGTATGGATGATGTGAACGGAAGGTTCCACGAGAGGGCCTCACAAATCACCGGGCATATGGGAGTGGAGCACTTTCTGATGGAATCACGCACTAATAATAAAGGCGGTTTGTACCAATCCTGGGATGCGGTACACTTACGTAAATAGAGACGGTGAGCACTGTTACACTTAACTTATCACTAAAGCCGTGGATTACAGCACTACTGAAAATGAACTTTTCACTGATGCCATATCAACAAGATTCTAATAATAAATAAGATAGGGCTAAACATCTCGACAACCACCGCTATTTTGCAATTGCCATGGCGAGGAGCACACAGGGCCGGCGTGAGCGGCGGCCTTGGCTTGAGCTCTGGCGTACAGGGCCCGTACGAAGAGTTTGAGGCGGGCTTACCAACATTTAGCTGAAAAAAAAACGATCTAGTGCGCTGTACGATGAACCATGTCGACCGTGAAGAAGACTCGCTGGCTGTAACGCACCATGATATGCGGTGCCTGATGACTAAGTGCAAATCCAAGCGCTGTGAGATGTCCGGTGAAGCCTGTCCCTGTCGCTACAAGGTCCTTGAATGCCAGGGAATTCCAGAAGTCCAGGTCGTGGATTTCAAGATTTTATTTTCGCAAGCATACAATGGCTGCCGACGCACCACCGTCTCCGGTTAGCACCAAGCTTTCTACGGCTATGAAGGAGTATTTAAATGCTAAACTTGAGGAAACGCCATCTATGGTGGCTCAATTGGCATTTTCCTTCCTGTCACGCGAGGTCCGTGAGCGCCGAATTGCAGGTTCAGCCCCAGATCTCGAGAAGGTGCAGAACTATGTGAAGTCGTGGCGTGCGAAAAACAAGCCGGACAGCATGGCCCCCGTCATGGAGATTTGTATTCGCTCAATGTACGATCGTGAAGATTTAAGTCGAGCACCTGTGGATTTGCTCGTGTTTTGTGATTCGAAAGATGAGGACGGCAGTAGGCTACCATTGTTGGGTACGGGATCGGAGGCGGATCCTTTTCGTATTGGCTTAACAAGCCTACAACTCATGGAACGCTACATCGTCGTTCAAAACGATCCTGATCTCACTACTTTGATTCATTTGGATTGTACACATGGTGTGGTGAAACAGAAGTATCCTGTTTTTGTTGTGGGCATCTCGGATTGTGCTGGTGGATTCCTACCCATCGTTTACTACTGCGCATCTCAGCGTAGAGGCGTCGACATCTCGTGGTGTCTAGCGTTTCTGAAGCGTGTGGTGTTTAGCGAGATTCAGGTCCGCTTCAAGCCTGACTTTGTCATGATGGATGCTGACAAAGCCCAGTACAACGCGTGTGCTGCTGAGCTACCTGAAACCACAGTGCTTATGTGCTGGTTTCATGTCACTCAGAATGTGCACAAATATGCAGATGAGAATGGTTTGGATGGGGTATCTCGCCCGTTGCTTTTTCGCAATCTTTATGATCTGCACTTTGCCCCGGATGAGGATAGCTACATGCAGAAACGCGCTTTTGTGATCGCGTCGTGGAATGGTGCAAGTCTTTGTGTCCCCGATTCAAACGTGTCGCGAAGCACATTATCAAGACGTGGTTTTTGGATCCTCGCTTTTCTAAGTGGCAAGCGTATCACACACCGACGGGGTACGCAGCTACAAACAACCCTCTCGAAACGTACCACTACACTTTAAATTTAGTAAACGACAGTAAGCGCGCAAACCCGACAGAACTGGTGGGCCGGCTGGATTTGTCGCGCATTGCCCACGAGACTAGTATGGTGCCATTCAGTTCGGCACCGAAAGTTTCGAAGCGGTTGAAGGCGGCCTTCAATCAAGCCGAGAAAAAGAAAACAATGAGAGCTATTCTTGTACACCGCGTACAAAACCGTGATCTGGTTTTGGTGAGTGTTGCACCGGAGCCCAAACAGAGAACGACAGTTGAACCGGATACCAGCGTTGTTGAGGATGCCGCTGGAGCCCTTCTATCGTATAAATCGGTAAACTACAACAGGATCATGTGGAAGGAGATGCCGCAAGGGGGCTGGGTGGTAGATGCTACGGCCCGAACGTGCATGTGCATAGTGTGGAGGAAAGCGGGTATGTGCTTTCACGTTATCAAAGCAACAAAGTTCGCCAATCTGCCTTGTCCTGGCATGCCGCGACCGGAACAGAGATTTGTCACACCCTACCAGTCGAGAGGACGACCTCGATCGCCGAGCCGTGTACGCGTGCAGAGACCAGAGCCAGTGTCAGAGGAGGTGCCGGAGGGCGCAATTGTTCTCGGCTTGGCAACCTTGGCAGAGTTCCGAGCTAACTCGGCAGGGTCAAGCGGACCCGCCAGCGTTGAGCTGGAGGACGGCGAATTCTTTCCTGGCGTTCCCGTAACAACTCCATTGGCACTTGCAGACCACGCAGATAACTCTGCAGTGCCCGTCACCACCTCGTGTGTGCATGCCGGTGTGTTCACTGGCGTGCCAAGAGAGCGCGCATCCGAATCGCGTGATCCGACCAATCTTCATATGACGGGTCCTGCAGGAGATCCCAGTTCACTAGGTGTGTTGGCTGGCACGCTGAGCAGCGGATCGGAACTACATGAAGCAAATGCTGAAGGATCCGCGTCACTTCGACGCTCCGAGCGGCGCCGAGCGCCATCGCGACGCGCCCGTGAGGCGTCCAGCGCTAACAAGCGCAGTCGGCAGTAGGTGAAGTGGCGGGCGTTGTTGAAGGTGGCAGTAAGGACAGGATCCATATGATTAGCATAAATCAGACCTATTACATAAACTCGATCAATAAGTCATCTTATCCATTGATTCGCTCACTTTTAAAAGCGCGGTAGAGAGCGGGAGAAGGTCTCGATACGATGGAGGCAGTGCATCGGTGCCGACCTGCAACATGGTGAACTACGACGAGGTACTTATCCGTGTTGGTGCTGCTTGAGACCATCCATTTGGTTCTGACAAACGGTTACATCCAGGACGCTAGCGCCTAGCAGAAGCTGGACTCCCAGATCAAGACCATGGCCCCTCCGAGACGGGCGCCAACGCAGTGTGTCTGTACGATGTTGATCTGTCCAAGCCGCACGCCGACTTCATGTACAAACTGCGCAAGTACGGCATGCTCGCTCTTGTGGACCTGGGTGCCACGTGCGAGAACTGTTCTATCAGGTGGACGAGTAACTAACAGGCTACACTGGGCGGTAGTTCACCTCCTTGTGATCGACGCCGCCACCATCACCGTGTGCTAGACGAAGTTCATCCGACACACGCGCGCCTTCATCGGCGGCTGCTCGTCCACCATCGGCGGCTGCTCGTCCACCAAGCTCAGCATCCCCGTGGGCGTCGTGATGGCCGACCCGGACACGACCAACAACAACCGCCGGCTCAAAGCGCAGTACTACAAGTGCCGCACGGACTTGAGCGAAGAGTACGAGAACGCTGAGCGGTACGGCCTCAACACGTATCAGTACTGCGACGGAGACGTGACGACGCTGGCGGACGCCGACGGCTTCTCGGAGCTATTGACGGACTTCACCAACTACAGCATGTCCATCCCGGTCATGCTGACCGAGTACGGCTGCGTGAACCCGAGCTTCCCCACGGTGGGCGACTACGAGGCGCAGCGCACGTGGCGTCAGCCTGGCTGGCTGCTGGGCGACGACGTCCGCAAGGTCTTCTCAGGCTGCTTCGCGTTCGAGTACTCGGCCGAGATGGCCAACTCGGTCGGCTCGGGCTCGTCCGCTTCGGCGTATCCGTTTACGTCCTACGGCGCGCAGAACTACGAACTGGGCTACTACTCGCCCGAGGACATGCGACTGGATCGACACCATGTGCTCGTACAACCCCATGCCCAACTTCTACAACATTTCGACGCAGTACAATGACTCGGGCTTTCGTCCGAGTCCTCGTACGATGACGTCACGGCCGACTCGGACCGCTCCAGCCCCCCGGACTTCCCCTCGGGCTTCTCGGCCCTCGTCGACTCGACGTGGGAATCGAACAGCGTGGAGGACGAGTCGTGACCGTCCGAGGTGCTCAACTACGGGCCAGACGGTCAGCGACTGGACCAGCCACGAGGGCACCACGTCGAGGGCGGCCAGAGGCGACTCGTCGGATTCTTCGGCTGTCAGCGTGTCCATGGCCTCGGTGCTGCTGCTGGGCTCTGTGATCGCTACGCTGCTGTAGACAGCGGTGTCCTACTCAAGTGCCAGTGGATGGCAGACGGAGACGTAACACGCAGTGAGCGCTAGTCGGCGACAGATAGCCGGTAGAGAACAGATAATGAACAAGCTGTAAAGAGATTGCATTCTAACCGTACGAAAGTTTTGTCGAGCTTCATCTGACGCAGTGCCAATCGGACTTGGGGAAGCGCCTCGAAAACGAGGAACTCGTGCACCTCCGTCAACTTTGTCAACCAGGCGAGCGTGTTAGCTTGTCTGTCAATGCGATTGTTGTCAGTTTTGCTATGGTTTTTCATGCACCTTGATAAGTAGGAATTGACAAAGTTATAGTGCTCCACTCCACTTCATCAGTGGCCCGAGTTAGTAACAAAGTGCATCTGCCCTATTCCTTGGTTAGTGCTGACCTCTATTTTTTTTGTGCTCTTTTCCGAACCCATAGTTGGAGGCGCAAAAGTCAAAGTACAGCTGGTCGTATACACAGTTTTTCGAGCATCTCCTCGTTCCACGAGCGATACACAGAGTTAACGGAGGCCATTATGAAGCACGAAATCGACGTCGATTGGTACGTGGTTGAGCAATGCCCCGCTGATGTTAGCGATGGGATCGTGGAACCATACATAGCGTTCATGTGGGCCACTGACAGGGGCCACATTGATGTCCTGCGGTACCTGGCTGAGCACTGCGACACTGATGTGAACGCCACGAACAATGAGGGCTACACAGCACTAATGATGGCCGCTACACAAGGAAGGATTACTGTGGTTCAGTGTCTGGTCGAACAATATAACGCAGATGTGAACACTGTAAGCATCAATGGAATGATCGCTCTCCGACTCGCTGCTGAACGTGGATACCAGGACATTCAACGAATGCTCATGCCATTCATTCAAATCAAAGTCCAATCACCCACCGCCGACGAAACGACAAATACAACAACCGTAGCCCACGTTCCGCCAAATTCCTCAATTGACCCGTGCGAAATTCGACTCATACGGTACAGTCAAAACGGAAAGACTTCCTTGTCAAGTGGCTCGATGCCGACGCAGTCGTGAAGCTCTTCATTCCCGACGCTTCTCATTCGTCGTTCGGCGGTGAAGTTCGTATGTGGCAACAGCTTCGCCACCCCAACATCGTCAAACTATACGGCGTGTGTGCCGTTAATTCCCACCTACAATTTTTCGTGTGCGAGTATGCGAGTCAAGGCTCACTTCTAGAATACGTCAAGTCTCCAGCCGAGAAGCGACCGACGATGTGGAGGTACCTCTACGAAGCTGCGCTAGGGCTCGAGTATCTTCACGAGAGAGGACTCGTTCATGGTGACTTACGGTGCAGTAACATTCCGATTGGGAGTGATGGCCTGGCGAAGCTATCAAACTTTGGACTGATTAGATCTATCAAGACGTCGAACGCAGTGCTGGATAGGTCCGTCAGGTCGATGCGCTGGCAGGCCCCTGAGGTTGTGAAAGGGATGTCTCCATCTTTTCAATCGGATGTATACTCTCTGGGAATAAGCATTTTGGAAGCTGTGACGAAGGAGACTCCTTAGCGGGGTCGCGAGGCCGGAAGCCGTAGTCGGCAGTGGTGGGGTTCAGCAGAGGCCGCAGCTCGGGGCGCTGGGAGCGCGTGGGAGCCATCTGCGCCGCAACCTGCTCGGACTGAGTTTCGTCCAAAGGGTTGGAGATGACGGAGCCCAGGGGCACGCCCTCACCACGAGGTGGCGAATACCGTGGCTCAGGGAGCGCGCGCAGCTCGTAGAGGCCGAAAGAGCGTTCAGGGAACGGGTTCGGAGTTTGCAGCGGTGGTCGCGGCTCCTCCTTCGACGGCGCAGCGCGCTCTGCAGGTGGACGGCTCGGCGAGCGCACAGGAGACGTGTGCGCGGGGCGCCCTTGATCGCGACGGCTCGGAGAGCCAACTGGGGCCGGTGAGCCTTCTTCACGGCGTGCCGACGGTGTGGGCGAAGCGTCGCCGCGGCTCGGGGAGCGCCGCGTGAGTGGGGACGCATCTCCTCGGTTCGGAGAACCCTCCATGGACTCGTCCACCTCGCCCTCTTCACCAAAGAGCTCCTTAGGATCCATGATCTGACGGGTTGGTGCTCGAGGAGAGCTGGGGCTTGCACGCTGCGAGCTACGCTTCAGGCGTTGCCGCGAAGTACTCGGACACCGAGAGCCTGGAAGTCGTCGAGGGTGTGGGCGCGGGCGCTGGCGTTCGCGGAGGTGCGGAGGCACACAGTGCAGCAGCACGAGAGGAGCGAGGCTCCGAGGCGGATCTCGCGAGAGGCTGTCTGCGGTCGAAAGACCAAAAGGCTTTATGACTTGAAGTCATGTGAGGGCGCGTTGCGCCGAGAAGTTCTCAGAGAAGTCCACGCGATGTGGATTGACTCGTTCGAGAAGGAGGCTTGACGGAACAAGACCCGGTGGTTGACCGTTAAGCGTGAACACCCGTGTCCACGGTTTGGTGGGGGAGGGTGTAACGGGGTTACACGAGAGTTACCCGAAGGGTTACGAAGTGGGTACACACTGTCTAAGCTAAATCAGTAGGAGAATCAGTACATGGCTTCAGAGCCACTGATTATGCATATGACTAGGGTTCACTATGCTAGATAGTGAACCGGATACATTTACACCGTAGGCGGCTTTGCCGCAATAAAGGAAAATACATTCAGTTTGAGATTCACACAGTTAAGAGTTAAGGGTTGACTCTTGAGTCCGTAAGGTGAACGGACTCGTACGTTCTGGTATTAGAACGGGCTATCTTAAACTGAGACTCTGCGAGTCTGATAAGCTTCCTCTGACGCAAAGCTACGGCAGCCCCGCTGCACTTATTAGTTACATCGGTCCGAGCTGATATGCCTCGCTCGATCGTCGTAACATCCAACTGGTCGTCGACGAAGAGCGTGCTGCTTATCTAGGTTCCCTCGCCGTGTTGGTGATGCCGGATTTTGACTGGGTCCAGACAGCGGGCAAGTTGTCTTTGAAGGCAGTCCATATAGCAGGCTATGTGCAGAATGGATAGAATTGAGCCTTGACCTATTCCAAACTCGCGTGCTCCAGTAGAGATCCATCCAAAAGCCGTCCTTACATCGACGTGACCAGGGCCAAGAAGATCAATCATGAGTTTTCTGGGAATCTCTGGCACACCAATCCCCCGATAGATAAGATCATGCACCATTTGGAAATCGGTCAAAGCACTTCAGGCAGTCTTTGGATTCCATTATCAAGCGCTCACGAAGATCTTGAGCACGTTACGTCAGTAAAGTAACAAGTAGAGCTGCATCGACGACGGTTCTATCCGATTGAAATCCGTGTTGCATTTGGCTGATCGGAATACCAGGCTCAACGTAGCGTTTCACAACAAGAAATAAGCGGCTAGACAACGCCGATTGCACGGTAATGGGCCTCCAAGGTGGTAGTCCTTCGGAGTTCGAGCGTCGGGTCGATGTTAGCGCACTTAGGAAGAAAAATCATTTGCTTTTGCCGTAGAATAGGTGGAGCTCTGCCCAAACGGAGGATCAGCTCAATTACTCGCCTCTCGCGACTTCGGACTATGTCAGGTGCAGCAATCCACATCTCCTGTGAAATACCTCCATAACCGGGCGCTACATGTTGCTTCAGCTGACGATAGACCTCGGCTTGCATTTCAGGCGTGTAGACATAGTTGTTCCACGCCCTGCTTTCATCTTGCCAATATGATACAAAACGGCCACCCTCAATGATATCCGGAACAATCCATTCACGAGCGAAATCGGGTAGGTCCTCCACATCGTCCATTGACAATGTTTCCAGATACCGTGGGGACTCTGTTTTTTCGTTCGCAGGGATCCAGTTATCCAGGAGAGTAGTTAGTTCCCTCTGCACCTCACTCCGATCCTCAGCGTATCGGGTTTCCCCAGTGTCCGTGACTATCGCACTTCGTATTGCTACGGGCGGAGGGCCTCGACCTAGGGTGCTGTTCAAAAACTTTTTTATACCTCCGCCGGAAAACCAGTCCTGTCGTTGCTTCTTTAGCTGAGCTCTGATTTGAGTTGATCTCCAGTTTCTTCGGATCCGCATGACTCGTTTCCAGCACTTAACTACACTCGAGACCCACATTTGCCACTCCGCTAATGTTGCTGTCGGAACCACTGGCATCCGCTGTAGTTCTTCATGCAAATGATGTGTCGCGCGCTCGTGCGCGCACCCTGCCACGAGATGGCCTGGCTGGATTACCCACTTTGGCCAAATAATTGCATTCGCAGCGATTAAGAGGCCATCGACGCCGACATCATCCAAAACAGACAGCTGGGTCAGCTTTCGTAATTGTGCCGTGCACCGATTACTGTATTTGATGCAAACAGAGCGCGCAAGTAGTCGCCGGGACTGATTTGTTTCCCCCCATAATTCTTTTGCGCTCGAATGCAGGCAGTGGTGCATATTCTCAATAGCCCGCTCCAACCAATCTAGTATCTCGTCGTCCGTGCTGCTTTCGGCATCGATGTCGTCGATCAGAGAGAGTTTCTTCTCAGCAAATAAAGCTGCTGTAACATCCTTAAATTCCATCATCTCTTCACTAGTTTTTGTCCTGGTGTTGATTACAGCGATAGGGATGACACCACGTATCGTCGATAGCACTCGTGCACCGCGTTCCCAGCGAAGCACCGCGAACGGTGTTCCAACATGGTCATTGCTCCTAATACTATCAAGCCATATTCCACTACTTGTCACTGCAGTTTCATGTTCCCCGGAGATGTATATATCATCAAGTGCTGTTTTTACGTTCCCTCGAGCATACGTAAACCTGCTCATAGTGGCATGACGCGCTCGGAAGGTGGAGACTAACCCATTTGAACGAGTCCATTCGGAGAATTTCTTGCTCATTGCTTTCGCGCGGTTTGACCGATCTCCATCACCTTGCCGATCCATCGATTCGTCGGGATAAGTATTGAAGTCGCCGGCAACAATGACTACTGCACTTTCCACTCGAGCTCCCAGCACTTGCTGTTGGACCCAGTTCCACTCTGCCTCCGTTGCAGCCTCGTGACGCTCTAGGGAGTAATGAATATAGGTTCCAACTATCCATACACTTCGTGCTCGAGCTAATCTGAGCTTAACGCACATAGAGCGTCGACTAGATGAGTAGCAGATGCTATGTTTCACTAATCTATTCTCCCATCGTTCACGAATAAAGACCATGGCGATGTGCTTGGTGCCAACGAGTAATATCCCGGCTACTTTAGCTGTCTGGTCGTGGGTGTTGAGCCAAATCTGCTCAACCCGTTGGCTGGTAAGATCCGGATCACTGACAACAACAACATCCTGATTGTTTGCCACCATCCACGCAGCCAGCTCTTCATTCATCTTGCGGCGTAAGTTCCGATTTATATTGGTAGTGCAGACACGTATCGCCTTCTCATCGCTCCGAAAAGCGTTGTCATCATCACCCATGTAGTCGCCAGAGTAGTGTTCCCTCTGCAATATGCTGCGTAGGACAGTGCTTCGTGCTGGTTCACCTGTATTTGCCCATGGCAACCGCACCGGCTGCCATTTCCGACGGCGCCTGCCTCCCCGCTGATGACGCGCTGTTGTATGCAGGCCGGCCGCTTGTTGGTCTGCAATTACCGACGCATCGGTATCGCTCTCTATACTGGTTTCCGAGGTATACACGTCCTCGCCGCCGACTTCTCCTGTAGGAATTATTCCCGTTACGCAGGTCACATCTTGGCGTGACCGGGCTGAATTCACCGTAGCAGCACCAATCATTTGCACAACCAGCACGATTCCAGTATACGTCCTAAGGGAGACCAAGCCTACTGGCGCGCTGGGCTTCCCGATCCAAAATTCTGCAAGCGTTTTCCGAGTGAAGTCATTTGTTGGTCCATTCTGTCCCCCAGTGCCGCCACGGCCGCCTTCCAGCCGGATGTAAACTGCTTCAGGACGTGGTCGGTTCGCTGCTGCTGCTTGTCCAGTTTGTCCAGACGGTGTTCAATGTGCTCAGTTCGTACGTTCACTAACTCCGCCAGCTTGGTGTCAATATACTGCTGCACGCTGAGTTGCTCGTATGTAGCTATAGCATGTTCACTCGGGCGGGATTCCTGTTGCGCGACCGGCTGGACCCCCCTTTGCAATAGCTGATTGGATCGTTTGTTGGTTAGCAGTGGACATTCAAACTTCAAGTGACCGGGTTTTTCACATTCGTGGCACTTCCGCGGCCACTTCTCCTCCCACTGTCGAAGTGACAAAGCAATAGTCTTGAACTTGAACTGCGTCGTGCCCTCGGGGCCAAATTTTTCAGTATAGCTTTCATCTGCTCCTCCGATGCACACACGCCGATTCCAAAAAGTGGCTGACTGCCTCTGAACTCAACGCGGACTTTGCCAAGTCCAGTGTCCTCAAAAACACCTTCAATGTGTTTCGGTCGCATTTCGATTCGGACACCAAAGATCCCAATCTTGTACTCCTGCTTAACACTGCGTTGTTGGCCAGGACGATACATGACCCCTAGGTCAGGATCCCATTCTGCGTACATGATAGGTTTGAGCAGTAGTGTACTTGTCGGGTTGCCATGCTGATA